TTGATCCTGATATTCATCTTTTGCTGTTGTAGAAGTTTGCTTTTACATTGAGCTGAAATTTTCAGTGTAGTGCGTAGTTACATCAGTCCTTGTAAAAAAACCTTTTGAATCTGCTAGCCTGAACTTGGCTCTTGTCATCATTTTCAATAGATTTTCAAGTTGTCATATGGACTATTAATAACTGACCTTACTAGACTGAACAGAATCTTAGTTGACTCAGGCTTTGCACTAGTGGCTAAAGTCGCAGACAGTTACATTGGTAATATAACAAACTGAAATAAGGATAAAATGGCAAGTATTGGTGTTTTGTCTTTTATGTGATTTTGTGAATTTATACCAAATTAGAGTTCCCAGTATGAAAGTGTGCTTGAACATTAATATTTTCTTAAGCTTGTTCCATTACTGTCAAGACATTTTATTGATTATACAAACATGTTTTGAAACAATGTCTTTTGATTCAAAAACTAAATTACTAATCATGCTGATAGATAAATCTGCAACTGAAGCCCCAAATGCAAAGCCAAAAAATAGTAACATTTCTATGAGCTTATCTCATGACAATCCTTTATCAATATTTGCTTAAGTACATTTTGCAGGATATTTTGAACCACTGTAAATTATTCCAAGGATTGTGCTGTGTGGGGAATGGAAACATTGTTCAGAACGAGTCTTGTTTAGGTTTAGATTTTTAGGAAACAGGAAGCTTTCTTATTCTGTGCTTGTAAATGAGACCGAAACAAATGTTCTTTGTAATAAACAGCATTTTTAGAATTTGGTTTCCAGGGTTACTAATTTATCAAATGTATGTCCCCTTACATGCTTTACAGTGGTAGAAAATTGCACACAAGTCCTTTCGTCCTTGCCAATTTGTCAAATAGTCAACGTATCAGAAGGACCAGTAGAAATTTGCCATTATTAAGTGTTTTGCTATATGTTATTATTATAAGGACTAGTGGATTAAAACAGTTTCTCTCACTGCCTGAGGATAAATGTAATTCTTATTTCATTTCCATACAATTATGTAACAATTTTGGCTTTATGGCACCTGATACTTCACAATTGCTTGGTTTATAGCAATGAGACGACAATATTTGCAAGTATCTTGATTAATCTTTGTGAACACATGGTGAATGGTAATAGACTTGATTAATTAGGGCAATTGTATTGGGCCAAATCATTCAATTACTAGGTTAGTCTATTTGACCTTGTATCATTTTCATTAATCTTGACGTTTTAGCCTGCTTGTTTTCAGTGATGTTTCTTCTTTCTTTTTTTGTGTTCCCAGTTCAGAATACGGATTGATTTCTTTAATCTGTTATGGAACACTTTATATATATAACCTCTCATCGAGTGAGAAAGGATGTCTAGAAGTGATATTATAATGTATGCATTGGAGATTTCAACATGTATGATGGAATTTATCCAACTACATGGCATACATGTATTTATATTAAAACATAAAGTAGCTTTGGGTGGATGAACTACGCACCAATTCTGTAGATCGATGCAATTAATGTACAACACTGAGTCTTGTCGCGACTTGATTATTTATAGGCCACTGTCATTTTAATGATTTAGCTGGAATATTGCTGAGTGCAGCGTTAAACAACAAACTATGCAGTTGAACCAGTCATGCACATGATTCCATTATGCTTCAGTTTGCTCAGTCACAAATAGCAAGGTATATAAGCCACCCCTTACTACTGTTTAGGTAGATGGTCTTTGATCAAGGATTACAGCTGGTCTTTAGAAGCAGACAAATTAAGGAATTAGTTACAACACAGGCGAACCCTGTTTTACCACCCAACTGAGACATTTATTTTGCAGTATATCTGTCATTGCTTCCAACTTATTTGGGGCCAGCCAGCCATGTTGGTTGTAGAGTTACATGTAAATAGGACAAGATTTATTGAGCTGCAAGAACATAGCTAGCCTTCTGAAGCTTAGTTTCCTGGGTTGTCACCTTTGTACATGTTAATGCAAGGTAATTGCTGTTCTGGTAATATGTGTACTTGCCCTTGGAGGCATTGGAATTGTTTCACAGAGTTGTTAGATGGCTTGCATACTTTCAATGTAATTTTGAGGATGACTTGGCTGAGGCAAGGTTTTCTTGTATAGATTGTACATGTATGCCATGTTATTATCTAATTATGGATTGTATTATTTTATAACCATGATAATACCGGTAGTTAATAATAGTTAAATTTTAAGGAAATATTGCAAAATTTGCTCCTTCCAAATCAATTCTGCTATCATGGCTATTGTAGTGTAAATTATGTTTATACAATATCAGGTTAATATTTTGTCATCGCTTGTCAATAATTGAACAAGAAGAAGAGAGCATATGTTGTAGAACATATCACTTTATATATGTTACTTATGTATGATATGATATGTTCCAAATACTAGAGATTAGAAGCCAATTGTGTGGGATGTTGATATTTGTGTAATGGAAAGTTTATGGATTGATCTATACATACAACATGAGACGAGACATTCTGATAATCCAATATTGATGCTGATAAGAACTGTCTTTTGCATGGCTGGTTTGGCTGACATTTCAAACTGTTAAATTGTATGTTATAATATATAAGCATGTAAGTACATTGCCTGAGCAATATTTCATATGTTGATAGTGTGAAGGATTATTTTTAATCTGTTTGATCACATTTTATTAGCATCATCCTTAAATGACATGCACAACAAGATGCATTGTAGTATTAATGATTGAATGGTAGGTTGGGGGCAACACCTATGTTGTTTACTACAAACCTGATGAAAATAATGATTGATACAAGAAAAGTATGGTAACAGATGTACATGGTACAAGGTCTCACAAGTCAGGAATGTCATTATCCATGTACTGTTGTATTACTACTGACTCTGTGACTAATGCTCAAGGTATGAACATATGTATAGGTAATAAGTTGTCAAAGGAAATGTGTATGAGTTGGCACACTATTGATCGTTTGAAGAAAATGTGTGTTATTCATGTTATTCATAACTGTAGGTGAAAGTTTAAGATATTTCAATAGTGTAATGGGACTTAAAGAAAATTCAGTAAGGATGCCTCCTGTATGACAATGATGTTAATACGGTTGTTATGGGCATATTTTGAATTCTTACCCTTCTGTGGCCTTTCTATTTCCGCGTTTATGTAGATTCTCTCTTTATGGACGTTGAAATTCTGTGTACCGGTATATGATCATGATGATAAGGCTTATAAATTGGGGTCTGTTTTGGTATCATAATGTTGAGTTTCCTGAGAGCTGGTGAAAATCTTGTTTGTAGAAATGTTATATGTCTGTCAGCTTCCAAACTTTTAGGGTTTAGGATAGTTCAAATGTTCACTTATGCTGCAATTCCTACATATGTCTGAAATATTGATTTAACTTTAAGCAGCTTAAACCTTACTCATATACAATGCTTGCTCTAGGTTCTATTCCTATAATTATGACTTTCAACTAATTTGTTGTGGTCTATAGATGTTCTTGAATCTTTTTGAGTATTGCCATACTTTGTAGAATAGTGTAAGACTCAGTTGCATGAGATTATTTTCTCCATGTGATGCTGGAGTTTCCACATGCATGTGAAGAGGAAAGATGAGTGTAGAGTAGATGGGGAATGTGAGGCATCCTGGCTTGTCTTATCTGAAATGCTGAGCAGCACATTCCGACAGCTCCCACATTGCTGGTCATGTCACTTATGTTGAGGATACACGCTTACTAAAACATGACAACCACACAGGCCTTGGGGACTTGCAACTGAACTGTGAGGATGACACATGATTCAGATGAACAGTTTTGAATAGTCATTGTGCCCATACTATGTAATATTAGTGAATGTTATGATTGCCACTATGCCATTGTTCGTGATCTGGCATCAGATATGTCTGAGTAAAGAATCACTTTCCTCATTCCAGTATACTTTCCTCCATGATACAGCCCATTTATGTGTAAATGTTTAAATCTTTAGAAAATGTTTCTAATGGTTATGATAATTTGGGAACATTTTATCTTCAATCAATATGTGCAGCTTCAGATTTCGTGACTAGACAGCTTTGTCTATTAAAAATGACTTGCCATCATTTATTGAAATAATTACTGTGTAATGCCTTCCTTGAACAAGGTCAGCTGAGTATAAATGTCTCATTCAGCATGTTTAGTGTGTCGGAACAAGGTCAAGCTCTGACTGTAAATCTATCAATGTTAGCACCTATGCCACTGATGAAGGAGGGATTGCGAACAGGCCGTATTAGAGTTAGGTCAAGAAAGATGAATTTCAGACCAGCTATGCAGCTTCCCCACTGTCTATTATCATAAGTGTTGATCAGTCTGGATGCACATATGAAGAAAGAGATAATCAGATTTGGCAGATACCTCTGAGTGTGAAAATCTAATAGCATTCTCTAAAACAGAAGAGTTTATGTACCTGATAACTCAGTTTCACTGCTGACTCTTTATGCTAAAAACTGAAATATGGGCAGTTACTGTTTTCGTGTTTCTTTCTTTTTAGTGGATATTTGGATTTTCACCAAATAATGTTGTATCCTGTAGATACGCCAGACTTGATGTCCTCACCAAGTATTGCCACTATTTGTCAGTTCTAATGAATCAATGCTACAGCTCCCAAAATGACAATTGTGCTTCCGGTAACTAGACTAATATTCAGTCTGGCCTGAGAGGGGGATTTTACCCATTTGTGCTTAATATTGAGACATGTCATATTGCAATCAGACTAAAGCTTCAGTAATGTTTTTATGCTGCAAATATGCTGGATGACAGCTATTGGCATTTCAGTCAGAATATACCCTGTATATTACAGCTTAGTTTGCATGCATGATGGTAAGTTGTACGTGAGATGAATCTTGAATGTGCCAATTTGTGAATTTATCAGTAATGGTGGTTGTACTGAATGCTACGAGTTGTTGTATTTGTGGTTAGAGCTGTATAATGTACAATTTTATGTTCGTATCTGAAATGTCCCCTCTTGTCTTTCAGGATCACGGTGGCAGGGTAAACAGCAATCATGACGGAAATTGAACAGATGGCGAACAATGTGGTTCGCTGGGAACCGATGGATGATGATTTTGACGCCGGTAACAACTCCTCCCGCCTTTTTGAAAGATCCAGAATCAAGGCTCTTGCAGGTAAGGAATGATGACTGAATCAGGAAATGTCTATCGAGTAGGCACTTGTATGAAAGTACAAATAATTGTTTTGAAAGATTAAATTGATAGACAATGTGCATTTGAGGGTAGATACACATATTGGCATTTTGGTACTTGGCATGTAGCCCTGATGTCAAACCATCTCTCTCTCCCCCTCATCAAACACCTTGTGGGCATTACTAAACTAGTGGGGCTGTGGGGTAGCCAAGTGGTTAAAGTATACGCACGTTGTTCTAAAAGTGGCGTAAAATCATACTCGGTTACTAACTAAATTAGTTGCTTAAAGACATATATGATTAAGTATCTCTATTGGTGATTTGCTTTTTGGGGATGTCTCGAGTTTTAGTTGACATGCTTGTAAACTGTATTATAATCATAATAAGGTCATTAGAATTTGTGAGACCCATGAAGATCTCGATTAGAAGAGCAACCCATAAAAGGCAACTTTGCTTGTCGTAAGAGGCGACTAACAGGATCGGGTGGTCAGGCTCACTGACTTTGTTGATGCATGCCATCGTATCCCAAGTGGGTGGATCAGTGCTCATGATGTCAATCACTGGATTATCTTGTCCAGACTTGATTATTAACAGACTGCCGTCATATTACTGAAATATTGCTGAGTGCGGCGTTAAACAACAAACAAACATAACATTAGAATCTTCCTAGAAAGTCAGTGCCGGGCATGGATTGTACAGAATTCTGTGGCCTGGATAGTGTTGGAAGCAGCAAGGTTTTTACCTAGCTGTTCCTCCAGGGAAACAGAAAATAGATGAAACTCGGCTATGCAGCAGTGTTCTGTCCAGCTCTGGTATTAAGTGCCCTGATCAATATTGTACTGAATAATATCTATTGAATATTAATAGCCACCAACGGCAGACTCGGGACATTGATAATCGTTACGTCTGTAGACTGGATAGTGGCAGGTTTTGGTTCACAGTGAACACACTTGCTGTGAATGTCAGATTGAAGTGGAGGTATACAATTACTGGCAATACAAAAAGGAATTCAGGTTTTCTTTTTGAGCTATAACAAAAGAAACACAGATGTTGTTGTAAAAGTTACTGTGATTGTCATTCAAAAACATTTGTTATTGTACTTTTTATTATTATTTTGTTTATCAATGAACATGGTTGATTTTTTTAAATTGAAATTCTAAGATAAGGGGTCCCTTAGTCTCAATATAAATATGATTTGATAGATGATCCCCAAATGCCACCTGATCTATGTTAGATTTGGTATGAATAAAATAGGTTTTAGCAAAATGGGTGAGTTTACTGCTACTGTCAAACCCAAGTGCTCCTATAAATGTGATATATGGATACAATCTCTAGTCAAGCTGAGTGTTTGACAGAGCTGAATAACGACAGTGTGTAGAGCCAGAATCCTGCTGATCTGGGCTTTTCACCTTATATTTATCTATCCTTGAAACTCAGGAAAATACTGCTTGCTGTATACAATGGAAAAGCAGCATGTGATACCCGGGAGCAAATGGCTCACAGGATCTCTAAACTTGTAGTTGATTCTGAGTGATGAGAATAACCTACATGGCTTCTTGTACAAACAGTATCTTCTAACAGGATTGATATATTTTGGTTAGCCCTTGCTGTCGATGAGGAATTACTTACATTGTTTAGCCATGTGTTGTTGTTTTTTTATCAACCTGGATCTTTAGGTACAATAACCTAACATATGGATAGCTGTTGTCAAAAAATTTCCAAAAATACTGATAATGTTGGAAAGATCAGTGAAGATATTTAGGGTTCATACACAGAAAACATTGCATGTATGCTGGGATGGAGATAGTTAGTACAATTTATAAGCTATTGATTTGCGTTGAGTATTTACATTGGTCATACTGACATGTACAACAGTGATGAATGCATGATACTGTACATTGATCCAGGTTAACATTCTGCTCCTATAACGCTGTGCCTGCTAGCTTCACTGCAAGGATGGGTTTTTAATAATTGATTTCCATCAAGCCTGTTGCTACACTGTGTGTGACACTATTGATTTTCTATACAACGGGCCAAAGCTTAGCTAATGAATATATTTTGTGGAAATTTTGTGTTTCAAATATGATTCTATTTTCACAAATGTATGTTTGGCTGCTAGGATTTGCATTGTCAGCTGTAAATTGGTATTCGAGAGCAGTTTGTGTTGGTAATTAGAGTAGTTGGTTCAGTTTGGAATGTGCCTTCAAACTCTCCAGTTGATGACATTTCGAAATGGTACACTGGCTGAATTTTAGTGAAGACACTATTGAAATTGAATTTGCATTATCTATATACATGATATATGAGAAGGCAGTGTTAGAAATTGGCACTAGTCCTGTAGTCCTTGCCAATCTGCCTAATAGTTAAGGCATCATATTGACTAGTGGAAATTTGCCATTTTTAAGGGTTTTGCTATACATATATTAACATTATAAGGACTAGTGGACTAAAAATGTTAGTTTATACCGCTGGAAAGGCTGCAGACAATGTTATATGTTTCATAAATATCTCTGTAAGATTACCCCTTTGAAATATTAATCAAAGACAGAAAATATGACATTGTGTCTGAGCATGTTCCGTTTGTACAAAAGTGTTTTCCAAGAACAAACTGTTTTTATGTGTCTGCGTTATCATCTGTGACCCGGCATGCAGTCTCATCTGTCTACCTGTGGGCTGGTCCGAGAAACAGACTATAACACTGAGCTATGGATTACAATTGGGTGACTCATCCCCAGACCTGCCGCACTGTACTCTCTCCTGTTGAGCTGGGAGAATGTCAATATGGGAGATGCATTTATGAACATGTCTGTGTATGAGACTAGGTTTTACAGCCCTCCACAACAGGCACTACAAGCTCCACTGTGTCCAGCCTCCCCCATGCATCACTTCCATTGTTCCCTGTTGTCTTGTCAGGGTGTCAGGTTGCGGGTCACATGGCTGGGCGGACCTGCCCTATTGTAATACTCATTTGTTAGGAATGTGAAATTGATGGTATCAAAACAAACTACATTAGCTACATCTGCAATGTTTTTCTATTAATTTGAGGGTCAGGGTTATTGTATTCCCAGATTTTCCCACTTACATTTGCTGCATATGAAAACACAAGATTAGAAACAAATGTGTAACACCATCAGGAAAAATACAGATGTGGAGGGTCAAACTTGATGGAATTCCGTAACAGATTCTCAGTTGGAACTTAGCTCCGAAGTATCCTAAAGTATTTACTTGTCATTGTTCCAGTGTTATAAGGGCCTTATTCTTATGCTAATACTTTCGTTGCTGAAATCTATTTCACTTAATTCATTGAAGTAATAATTCTGTTGAAAGTTTTTATTCAAGTATCAATTATTTTGTCACAGTGGTTAATGGCAGGAGTATTCTTGATAAGCTAAATCAACAGTTTATTTGAGGTGACATATTCTTGTTTGCCAACACAAATAATCTTTTTGACATGTTTGTTGACCAGTATGACTATTTCCTTATATTACGGAAGGCCATGTAATTGCAGCATATAGAGCTTTTATTTTTAAGCGTTATTTAACATGAAATATATATTGAAGCGAACATCAAAAAGTACAATTTTGGTCTATGATTTAGCTGAGCTATTATTCATAGCATAGAGATAAGCTGGTAATTACTTGACAGAGTTAAAATTGTAAAGTTCCTTGTGAAACAAAAACAATACACAGTGACCTTTGTCACTGAAATGAAATTGTGACAAACATCAAAACGTGATGTCATTTTGTGGAAAAGGCCATTTCCCTTGATATAAATTTATTTGGAATTAGAATCTCATTGTTTCTGAGTTGTATAAGCAGGAAATGTTTCGTGTGATTAGTTTGACAATCGACTTTGGAAAAAATATCATTTTGTACCTTCAAAATGTGAAGAATTTCTAAAAATATTTTCATCTTTTTCTTGTAAGGTGAGATTCTGAACCTGTTAACTTTGTTAAGCCAAGGCTTATGATGGAACAATTTATGATGAATCTTGTCTAAAAGGTCAAACTGACATGGAATATGAAAGTGAATTGTATATAAACTGAAAATAGAGTGTGATACAATGATTCACTAGAGCCTCCGGTTGCATTGTAATACTGCCAAATGTCATCCCATTTCGACTGTTTTAACTCCGTCATCAGAGAGGAAGTGTCCCAATTATTTTGGTGAGACCGGAAGTTTGTATCCCCAATGACTGTTTGAACAGCACCACCCCCTTGCATTTATTTAAACTTGTGGCAAAATCAATACTGTGGATAGTTTACATGTGAAGGTGTCAGACGTAAACAGCAAGGTTAACGTGATTGATGGATACCAAGTAACATGTAGTGTCATGGGTAGTTTTATCTGATTAAGGAGTTTGTACCCACTAGAGATTGTGTAACGGCTCATAGCTGTTAGTCGACAGGCGGGCGCTTTGGGATTGTTACATCCTGTGCTTCTAAATGGATTACTAATGTTCAATGGCAATATGGAATACTTCAAAAGTTGTCCAGAAAATACAGATAGATTCATTCAAGGAAAAATTAAGCAGTTGGCAGGTAAAGTAATTCCGGAAGCATTTTGAACATGAATTATTTTAGGGCGGATTAAACTGTTCCCAACATGAGAGAAGGGGAAAATGACCTTTGTAAAAAGGTGCTTGCTGAACATATTATCTGAAGTACAGCTTGAAGAGGGCAAATTGAAGCTATAAAATGAACAGTTCTGTAACCTTATTGGAGTCGGTAAGGTCAGACGCTATCACGGGATGTGTGTATCAGTGTTCAGTTAACAAGTTGAGTCCAGTTCACATAAGATAGCTATTGGTGAAATATGAGAACAAGCACAATAATGCTTCTTGAAAATAGCTTCAGCTAAAATGCACCTTAAAACACGTCTTGACATTGTGAACTATGTGTTGGAATTTTTTCGAGTCTTTATATGAAAGATGGGTTACTTCGATTAGCTATGCAGACCAATCTTCCCTAAATGTTTTAGCAGATAATTTCATGTTATTTTAGTCCATTTAAGTTATTTTGCAGTTTGTTAGTGATCAAGAATCATAAGAAAGATTGAAAAAAGTAATCCGAGGTTAGTTTTTTCAAACAGAACTTTGCATGAAAGCTTAGTTTCTCTTTTATGGATTTCATCAGAAGGTGTTGTTTTTTTGCATTAGAGCCATATCCTACGTAGCTAGGTCGCAGCGCCACTGACAGAACACTGACAAATTGTCTATTGATTTTCTGTGCGAGATTTAAAGTGAGGTCAGGGTTACTGCTGAATATGAAGTGAGATTACGCCTGTTCCCAGTGGCTGATGGGATGGCATGGCATGCAGTGGCATGATAACACATTTCATGTCTTCAGAGATTGCATTCATATCTTTTAATTGTTTGAAAGCGTCTTGTTAAAAACCACAGACTTTGAATGAGACTGGCTTTTCATTAAAGATGGTTGGAGCTAATCATGAAGTATCTTAATATCCACAGTATTTGAGTTTGAGTAGTGCTAGTGATATCAGTTAGGCTGATGACCTCATTGATAAATTGAATACTACTGAATAAATGATAAAGTTGGCCTGATGAATCCAGGTTACCGCCAAGTGTCGCCTTGAGGATGATCTCATTGATGGACCTTCCTATGGTAGCTGTTAAGATTTGAATGATTAATTCATCTAGTACCATGTGTGAATGATTGATTCATGTACTACCATGTGTGAATAAGAGAATATAGCTGACAAGATTTTGTCATAGTTATTTTTTCAACTTTTCATTTTCATAGTTAGTGAGTTATATTGATTTAACTTTGCATCAGCATTGTTTCGGCCATAATTCGACGAGCTAAAGATTTAGTATCTACAATCATTTCAGTTTAATATGTCATACTAATGCAAAGACCTGACTTTTGATGTTGGATCCCTGTCAGTATAAACCACTTCAGCTAGTGGGAATACATTAGTGCATATAGTCATTTAGATATTTATCAGGCAGAGAATTTATTTTTAGAAACATCCTCAAACTGGTCATGATGTGATCAAAATGAGCTGTGATTCCATACACTATAACAGCTGAGTTTATTTTGTGCATTAGGGTATATGCATCACAAGCTCCCAAATGAAGTGTTTATTTGATTCAAATGTTATTTATTCTCTACCTTTTCAGATGAAAGAGAACTAGTACAGAAGAAAACTTTCCAAAAATGGGTAAATTCTCATTTGGTGCGCACAGGAAATCGCATCAGCGATTTATATGTGGATCTCAGAGATGGCAAGATGTTGATGAAGCTCTTGGAAGTCCTGTCTGGAGAAAGATTGGTAAGTTTCCATCTGTTTTCTCAAATCATTAAGGACTATTAATTGATGAAAGTGTAGTGATCAGTTTTAGAAATTCAGTGGTAAATTCAAGGAGCCCTATTCATAGCAGTAATGTTGAAAAGGAAGAATCAAGGGGATCCTTTGATTCAAATACCATAGCAGAAAATCTAAAGGACTCCAGGTCCCCCTTAATTTTTAGCAGTGGTATAGGGTAGATGTTAGTAAAGTCTCAATACATGTATTTATGTGACGGGTAGATAATTAAGATTTATGTTTCTGATTATTTGTTGAAATAATTACCATCTACTTAAGATTTCATAATTCTTACAGTATTACAAATTTAGCATGAAAGTCAAAGGGTCCTAGTTGTTACTTGTTTAATGTCAATTGCAATGTTACTGTTGTGGTATAAGTGCCCATATTATTTTATTTTTATTATCTCTTGCAGCCTCGACCAACAAAAGGCAAGATGAGAATCCATTGTTTGGAAAATGTAGACAAAGCCCTAACCTTCCTACACGAACAGCGTGTACATCTAGAAAATATGGGAGCCCATGATATTGTTGATGGCAGCTCCAGACTTACACTGGGTTTAATATGGACCATCATCTTACGATTCCAGGTGAGGTTAATCATTTATAAGCTTGAACACTATGCTGCATTTGCCTAAATGTTAAAGGTATCCTGAAGCTGGTAGAAGCTCTTTTCCATAAATCTTTACATTACAACTAATCATCCAAAGGATTTTACAGCATAACTTCTGTGCCTGTAACTAATAAACATATTTAGCCATTAACATTCAATTATTTGATAAAAGTATCTGCATCTTGTGTATGTTAATGTGAATGTCATCATCATGTCATTGAAGAAGTCAACATTGTTTTTTTGTAATTGATATTTTAGTATGTGTGTATTAACTATTCAGACAATAGGTGATAATTTGGCTAAAAGTATGCTACCTATTGAATTAATTGTGGATCCTCTGGAATTTTGTAAGGAGATAAGTGAGCAGGATATAATGTATTCATTCATTGAGAAAATGACATTTTACAAATGAGATACCATGTGTCCGATGATAACTCATCATATAGATCTTGCTGAAGCATCATTTCATATATAGTTCCTGCTGGTCCAATGGGTTTGTTCCGTAAAGTGTGTTTTGAAACATCTTCCTTGGCAAATGTTTGTTTTTGATCATGTTTTTATAAGGGTTTGCAGTGGCCATTGGTCAAATATAGCTTTAGTCTGGCCCAACTGAGACAGGAATTCTGTTTCCATGTTAAGTCCATATATCAAGTATGTGTTGTGGACTGATTGTGACAGGATTCATGGTGAACGATTTGGTTTTAAATCATAGTTGTGCATGAAAGAAAATCAGTGATGGATCAAGTTGATTACCGTTTAATGTACAATGGTGTATATTTTGTACCACAGATCCAAGATATCACAATAGAGGAGACTGACAACAGTGAAACCAAGTCTGCTAAAGACGCCCTACTTCTATGGTGCCAAATGAAGACTGCTGGATACCCTAACGTCAATGTCCGCAACTTCACAACCAGTTGGAAAGATGGCCTTGCCTTCAATGCCATTATTCACAAACACAGGTAAGTTGAATGGCTGTGTTATTCAATGCTATAAAACCCACTTTTGTCTTTTTGCCCTGTAGTTTTAGTAAACTTTTATAAATTGTAGGCTGTGATTTATTTAATAGGTTTAATTTTCGGATCAGTTTGGAGTCATGTGTAATATAATGCGAAGTTAAATATTACTTTATCTTAAACTTGATGCTTTTGATGATGGTATTTTGTACAAGACTTTTTTTTATATATCTGAGGTGTTTAGACCCACATCTTCTATTGCTTTGTGTGGATTGTTGCTAGCTTATTTGGAATGGGTAATTATAATGCAGAGTTACAGTCATGGATTTTAAGTAAATATTTCTACTGTTTTGCATGAGATTTTGAATAAGCATATTGAGTAAATATCATCTGAAGTAAAAGACCTGTTGAAGCTTTTGTTGCTACCCATATGATGATTAACAGTCTTGGCAACCAGATTTCTTTCCGTTGCATCATTATAAACAAAATGAGATGGAGCATTACAGTAGGTCATTACTTCGTTTGCATCAGAAAATGATGAAAGAGTATATGTAAGGTCTTCATGTGTACATGTTGGACTCTGTTACAAAAAAACCCATCATGAATGTTACAATTGTTGTTCTGCTTCTAAAATAAACTTTTGAAAGTGCCTCAGCTGCTTTATCAAACAGGACCCAAATAGTGTGTTTTGTGTGGTCAAAATTATCAACTACTGAAGCGTGAATGATAATAGTGCAGTATGAGAAACTTCGTTTTGTGCCCTTGTGTATACATGATGAAGAAGATGATGTTGTCTGACAGGCTTAACCGGTAACATATAATCATGATAATATGAGCAAACTGTACCTCATGGTACAGTGACCACGTAAAGAGAATTTAATGTGGTAGACTGTTGACTCTGTATCTTCCGGCTTACATTATCAATGAGTAAACGTCTGAGACCTGCATCACTTCGGGCTTTCCTCCCACATTAAGCTGACACGCCGCGATATAACTGGAATAATGTTAAAAGCGGCGTTAAACCTTACTCACTCACTCACATTATCAATGATTATGCTGAAAATATTCAATTCTATAAACTAATCAGAACAAGTGGAGTTTGTTGATAAAACATACTGCTTATGTAATAATGAAATTGTTGGATTCAACACTTCATGTAATGATGTCAGTGTTTGTAATGTGTTTCCCAGCTGAAGTTTATTGACGAAACATGTATTTTGAGTATTAGCAAAGACTGCCAAGTTTTGTGTTTAACGTTTAAAGTAAGGTACTATTTTCTTCGGCTGTAAAGATCTCTTCGGAATACCTAAGTTTGCCTTTAGGTTATTGGCAGTTTGAAATAAAGTGCTGAAGAAGCTCAACATGTCCTTGTAGTGTTGCAGCTAACATTTATAAATAAGTGGTGAAACTACATGGGGAAGTTGGCTGAAATACAAGTCTGCTGCCCTGTGTTAACGTCTTGAGAACTGTGTTGGTGGCATTGTGCCAGCTCTTTCATGTGCAAACTCGGCAACTTTCCTGGTATAGAAATTTCTTAGTGCTCAGAAGTTCCCTGATATGAAGACAAAGCATCAACTGTTCATAAACCCAACTCCCTCAAACTGAAATTTGTAATATTGTTGACTGGAGAGAAGCTTAGTTCAGGTGTCCTGGGGTTTTTTTTTCAAGGCAGTGCTGCAAATAAAGTTCATCTAGTATGGAACAAAAATATTATTAGTATTTGATGAGATGCTTAGTAATTGTGTATCTGTAGATAGCTGACTTTGTGTGCTTTACTAGGAAAGTGTTATCCCAAATATAACATTTGTTATATCTGTATTTTGCAACTCGTTATGAGAATAACTTTGACATGGTGTCATCGGTTATTTTTTTTATCAAGTTCATTGTAATTGTGTCATTACTGACAGTTTCTGTGAAGAGATTGACATTATTAGAGATAATAACCTAATGACAGTTTATTATATGTCACTATTCTTTCTCTTTGACCAAAAGAAATTATCAGAGTTAGAAATTGGCTCTAGTCCTATAGTCCTTGCCAAACTGCCCAATAGTTAAGGTATCATAAGGACCAGTAGAAATTTGCCTTTTTTTTAGGCTTTTGCTATATGTTATCATAATAAGGACTAGTGGACTGAAATGTAATGAACATAATAGACCTCATATTTACTTTATTTGGGAATGTTGGCATTGATCCACTCAGCAGAGGTGTCTACCATTACGATTTTACTGTAATCATCATAATTTTTATGTAAAACTAACTGTATTATGGGGATAAAGTCAACTATTATGGCAAAAATGAAAGTCAGTGTGTTAGTAGTTTGCATGTCGCATTGTGTGGTATATGCTTGCAGTTTAACATGTTCTGTCCTGAAGTATTCCGTAGTGAGCTCATAATTAATATCACATTCAATAATATTTGGTAGTTTACTATTTCTAGGGTCACTACTGACAAATAAGTAAAGTTACTGAAAATTACTCCTATTTTATCCAGAGGCTATCCAGATATTACTGATAGGGCACATATATGGACACCTCTGACTCCAATAGGAAATTAAATCTCTGCATTCAGGTAACATCAGCAAGCACAGAAAAAGCTGACGTATGTTCATTATTGATTTGTGTCAGCTGATAAAGATAATTGAACACTGGAGATTGGTGGCTTAGATGTTTGATGGAGAACTTACCCAAATCAAATAATGCAAATAATGTCAGCCATGAGCGATGGCTGGAGGTTGATTTACTTGGTTGCCATAGTTACAAGATTACAGAGATTCCTGGCTTTAGCACATCTAGTGCAGCTGGTGCTGAAAAAGGTATGGGTAAATAATGGGTCATGTCTTCCTACCGTCTTATGCTGCCAAGGAAAAGAAATGTTAGGTTGAGATGATGTTAAATGTAATAAAATTGCCAAATGACAATAATCTTGTGTGTCCTATACTGTTAAAATTATGAACTCTTAAAGATTTTTTTTTGTCAATGTGAAACTGTCCGAAATTAAGAATGAGTCGAAGGATCTTTGTCATAAACCTTACATTGCAAACATTTACCTGGTCCCAAGATTCAAGTACCCTTAACAGTAAAACCTAAGACCACCTGGATCCCTCATAGTTTTATGAGCACTGAATATGTTTCAACAGGATTACAGCAGATAAGAAATAAATACATATATCAGTGATAACAACAAAATACCTTTAAGGAAATTACTTTTTTACTTAATTCTGTAGGTTTCTGTCAGGTCATTTACAATAAAGATTTTAAGTTTCCAGATATTTCAGGGATTTCAGCAAAACAGATTGATTTGGGGAATTAAGAGAAAGCTATGCCAGTGGCTTTGTTAGCTTTAGTGAACCAGGACATTGAAACTGCAATCTTGAATCAGCGGAGGTCAGACCTAATTATAATTTAATTGTCAATCAGTCCTCTTAATTTTGTTTTATAGAAACAAATCCCAACATTTCTACCAGCAAAAAAAAAACCCAACATATTTGCAAAGAAGATAAGGGACTTTCATTAAATTGACAGTGCAGTAGCCAGCTGTGTTCTTAAAGGTGCGGCATTGGGGTAGCCTAGAGGTTAAAGCGTTTGCTTGTCATGCCGAAGGCCCAGGTTTGATTCCCCATGTGAAGAATGTGTGTAGCCCATCCGTGTCGAAATATTGCTGCAATATTGCTAAAGTGGCATAAAACCGATTGAATTCTTTGATTCATTTTAACTTCCAACTTACAATCTATACCATTTGTTACAGGCCAGACCTCATCCAGTATGAAAAACTTCAGAAGTCCAATGCCATGCACAACCTGGATAATGCCTTCACAGTTGCTGAGGATAAGCTTGGTCTCACGAGACTCCTTGATCCAGAGGGTAAGACAAAGTGGAAGTTCTTGTTCTGGATAGCAGTATATTTGTGCTGTAGAAATCAGAGAGGATTCTTAAATGGATTTGATTCATCAGTCAATAAATACAGCGGAAAAGTATACCAGCAAAGTTGATCTTAGATTCTCAGAAGCCATTGAAACCTGTTTGTTAAGAAGTAGCATGCAAAGGAATGAATTCTTCCTTTGCCGATGCAAATGTTCCTTTGTTTACCTGTAGTCTGATTATGGCAGTGTTGATATGTAAAAACAGTGTTATCTGTAAGAATCAGATCCGTTCTCACCCCCTGACAGCTATAAGTAACCTTGCCATGTAAGTAATGTTGGTATAGAACGGATACTTGCAGCTCCCTCAGGGCTGCTGGTGTTCTGTTAGACATCTGACGTCCTACCCACGCCTCATGTGGAGGCAATATGGTTTAACCTTTCTCATGCATCTATAGCAATAATCGGGATACCAAAGACTTCTACCCTTCCTAGACAAGGTGAAATCCACAGATAAATTTTCATATTTTGATGAGAGGACATCCCATTACAACCTGCAAAGTAGAAGCATGGTACCATGATACAAGTTCATTGACCTTTGGGATGCTTCACACTGTTAAAGGTTACTAGAGCAAGGTATGATGTACAGCGAATATACAACACTGAGGTGCTGCATCTGTTGAATGACTAATTTGATTTTATCAAGAGTGTTGATTTATTTATTTTCAGATGTCAATGTTGAGTACCCTGATGAGAAGTCCATCATCACCTATGTTGTCACCTACTACCACTACTTCTCCAAGATGAAGGCAGACTCTGTGCAGGGAAAGAGAATCGGCAAAGTAAATATTAGCGCCAGAGAGTTGCCTGTGTTATAATGTTCATCATCCATGAGGATTTAGAGATACCATTTCCAAATTGATTATGTTTTTGCCTTATTCATTGGGCAATCTTATTTTTGATGTGTGTTAGTGTTTGGGTTAAGTTTAGAGGGAAATAAATATTCTCCAAGAAAAGGATGAAAATATTCTCTTAAGAACATCAAATTAATGACATAATTAACATTTCTTGTTTTAGGTCATTGACAATGCCAGAGACACCGATTCAATGACCAATGAGTATGAAGGTCTGACCTCAGACCTGCTGGAATGGATCGAACAGACAATTGTCATACTGAATGATCGTCAGTTTGCCAACTCACTGACTGGAGTCCAGCAGCAGTTGTCTGCATTCAACACTTACAGAATGGTAGAAAAACCACCCAAGTAAGTTCATTCTTTATCAGATTGGGAAACACAGTGGATAGTGAAAAAACTTTGTTATCACCAGCCCAAAGTCGGTGAAGTGGTGTGCAGTATTGCTAAGAGTTGTGTAACGCCATATCATATCGGATGTCCGCTGGAATATATTAAAAGTATGAACTTGTCACTGATGATGTATAGCCCCCAGAATCCCTTCTCTCTCATAAAACATTTGCATATGATATGCTTTTTTGTATTCAACACTGTTTGCATATAATGCTGCATCCTTTCTGTGAGTTTACTACATAAAGTAAATGTTTGTTTCAGATTTGATGAGAAGGGAAACCTCGAAATCCTTCTGTTCACCCTTCAGAGCAAGATGCGTGCAAACAACCAACGGCCATATTTGCCAAAGGAGGGGAAAATGGTTTCGGACATAAACAAAGCCTGGGAGAAGCTGGAGAAAGCTGAACACGAGAGAGAACTTGCACTGAGGGAGGAGTTGATCAGGTACATAACTCACATAGGATTTGTTGAATGATCTCTGATCCATCAGGAAACAATAAATACTCTACTATACAAAACATATATTGATCTCAGTTATTAGTTAACATAAATTGATCCTTGTTGCTCGGTGGACAAGCTAATAATGTTTCTATGTACCTTTTATATATTTTTCCTCAATTCAATATTTGACAATGTTATTCCAGACAAGAGAAACTTGAGCAACTAGCTGCCAGATTTGACCGCAAAGCAGGTATGCGCGAGACATGGTTGAGTGAGAACCAGAGACTTGTTTCTCAAGACAACTTTGGCCGTGACCTACCTGCAGTTGAAGCTGCCACCAAGAAACATGAAGCCATTGAAACGGACATCAACGCCTATGAGGAGCGTGTGCAGGCTGTTGTTGCAGTGGCATCAGAACTTGAACAGGAGAACTATCATGACATTGACAGGATAAATGCACGGTAAGCAGTTTTATACTGTTTGTAAGTTCCAAGATGTCAGTGGTTTATCAATTAATGTGCAGTAAGTAACCAAATAATCTGATCTTATGAATAGTTCAACGTACCAATATTCGAACATAGCAATCTACATCTTTGGCAGGTGTATATGTTTTAACTCCCTACAGGCATAATATGGATTGGTTTAATCTGTATAAACTTGAAGTCCACTTCTTGAAAAGTGTTTGGTGTTGTGTTACAGAAAAGATAATGTGCTGAGACTATGGAACTACCTGCTGGAGCTTCTGCGCACTCGTCGCATGAGGCTGGAGCTGACACTGAACCTGCAGAAGATCTTCCAGGAGATGCTCTACATCCTGGACTGGATGGAGGAGATTAAGGTAGCTGTCATTGTCAGGAATTGAATTAGCAATAGTATCAATTGAAAATTTGTATTAGTTTTAACTTTTTTATGTTTATAATGTTTATCAATTTAGATAAGTAATATCATAATATGCAGCCATAGAAACTAACATTTTTAGTCCAGTAGTCCTTATAATGATAACATATAGTAAAATTCTTAAAAATAGCAAATTTCTACTAGTCCTTATGATACCTTAACTATTGAGCAGTTTGGCAAGGACTACAGGACTAGTGCCAATTTCTAACGCTGATATGACTTTGAATTTAGAGATGAATGGTTTGACATTACTATTGAACTTCCATATAGAGAAACTCAACTGTATTTAAGGCTTTGTCATGATACCCTCAATGTTAGTTCTCATGTTCAATGATACCCAAAACAACCCTATTTTGCTCTCATAATATGGCAAAGTATATTGCCTGAACCTGTAATATACAAATTTGGTGTCATGTGTGATACACTTACAATTGAAACTTCCCCATCTGTTTTCATGCTAAAGATGCAGGAGTGTACTTACCAACTGACTTTTGTTTCAGGCCCGTCTTATGTCTGAGGACTATGGCAAGCACCTGATGGGTGTAGAGGATCTCCTGCAGAAGCACAGCCTGCTGGAAGCAGACATCCATGTAGTGGGAGAGAGAGTAAAAACTGTCAACAATTCAGCCACCCGCTTTATTGATGACGACTTCCAGGAAGTTGGAGGTGAGATAGAAATCTGTGATGCCTTCTGCTTATCCAGCAGTCCAATATACATTGTTACATTGGCAACTGTTCCAAGGCAATGTCTCTGTGATATGGCTAAAATATTCTGACTAGTGTTCTGCAACGAACAACAATATCAACGGTGCAAAGGTTGTTCCGTCCATTGTTTACCCAGTTTTTAGGATTGTCATGGGCAAGAAACATTTTTGTAACTAATCTCAAGGTTAATACTATGAACTTTTTTTGAATGTTTTTTTATACATTGTTCCCGAAGGACATGGTTAAGTATTTTATCACAACTTGTTACAGGATACCGTCCAAGTGACCCAGAAGTGGTCAGAGAACGCATGTCCACCCTGGAATCTGCATATGATGAACTGAAAACACTTGCTGAGGAGAGACGATCTCGTCTGGAGGAGTCTCGCAAGCTGTGGCAGTTCTACTGGGATATGGCAGACGAGGAAGGATGGATCAGGGAGAAGGAACAACTTATGTCATCACCAGACCTTGGACATGACCTCACCAGTGTTCACCTGCTACTGAATAAGCAAAAGGTAGAATAATATCAGTACTTTAGTGCTGTTTAATGTAATAGCTTGGTAGCAGAGCAACTGATGTAAACCCCTGAGGACATATACATTTTCTGATGAAGGCGTGGCAGAAACTGCTAATTTAAAGTTTTAGATTTGTTTGAAGTTAAAAGAATGTTGGTTGTTGAATTTCACAGAACATGTACAGTGTTTTGACTACTACATATGTGAACTATAACCATGATATGTATTTTTCAGGCAATGGAGGATGAGATGACCGCCCGCCACAGTCATCTCCAGTCAGTCCTCCAAGTCGGAGACGATCTCATTTCTGCAGGCAATTTCGGTGCTGACAAGATTCAGCAACGCATCGATGAGATCAACCAGCAGTGGGAGAGCCTGATGGACCTCGCTAAATACCGCAGAAAGCGACTTGTTGAGGCTGTGGACTTCTACCAGGTAATGTTACATATCTTGATTTCTCTTGGAACAGATCTGTGTCAATATATCTGTCAAAATAGATTACCTTTTTATCCCGGTCGATCCCTAATCATTTTCTTTCCGGAGCGTAACACGAAAACTGTTCAGTATTTTTCAACAAAAACTGGCAGATATGTCAAACAGATCCTGAAATTGTGCCTTTTGCTATTTACAGATTTTTGACATTTTTATTTTTCACAATTTCCAGTGAAACAATTTGAACTTTGTCTTATAAGGGAGTGGATTTTGTTTCCGGAGCACAGCACAAATAAACTTTCAATGTCTTTCAACAAGACTTGGCAGATAGATCAAACAGATCCTGAAGTGATGCCTTTTGATATTAGAGATTTTTGGCATTTTCTCGAATTTCATTGAAACAATTTGGACTTAGTCGTTTTCGGACCACAACTTGACAACTGTGAAAGAATTTTCACCCAAACCTGGTACATGTATTAACCAAGGGCTGAAGTGGTGCCTTTAGCTATTTAGGAATTTTTCGAAAGTTGATTTTTTCCCCCTGTTTCCATGGAAACAAATATAGCTGAAACAAGGGTAGGTGTCGTTTCCTGAGCAAACTAAGAAACTATTCATCATTTTTCGTCCAAACTTGGTACATGTGTTAATCAAGGATAAAAAAAATATAAAAAAATAATTTATTAAATATTAAAAAAAGATATAAAAAATCCTGTTTACATGGAAACAAGTTTGACTTTGACTCTTTTCATAGTGGTGTCTTTATCTGGACCATATCTCTAAACTAATCAGTGTTCTTTCATGACACTTTGCACACACAGAGACTAGGTTGTCAACTGGTGTCTCTTGCTATTTAGGGGTGTTTAGAATAATTTTTTTCTTTCTTTCCATCCCAACAAGTTTGTTTTTGACTGTTCAAGTTCTGAACCCCAACTCCATGATATTGCTTTGATAGCTCAATAACTACTCTTGTATATGGACAGACAGATCAGATAGAAAATCTCTCATCAAGTTAGACTTAAATTGGCCGTCAGATGATTTGTTCTTTCGAATTTGTGGGGGCCAGGGGGATTTTTCATCTTCTGATGACTCTTGTTAACATAAAATTGATTGTTATTTAGTGTTTTTCTTTTAGCTCATTCATAATAAATATTTTGGAAAGCTGTTTTGGCTTGTACATTTTGATGAAAAATGTATCTTTGGATCAAGTTTGGTTTGGGTGTTAACTTTATGGGATAAGATTTCGATAAGATTTTGGACTGGTATTGGTATCTGTTTTACTTTAACAGTTCTTCGCTGATGCTGATGATGTTGACACCTGGATGGTTGACACCTTACGTCTGGTGTCCAGCGAAGATGTTGGCAAGGACGAAGCCAGTGTTCAGTCGCTCCTCAAGAAACACAAGGTCAGTCAACAAGCACATCTTATTGCTTTTGTTAAGGGAATCATATTTGAAACATCATTGAATCATGTTCATAATGGTTCTGTTTTAGAACACTTGAAGAATTGAAAACAACATATAATTATGTACAAAAATATTTGCTTGGATAATTTCCAGGATGTGACTGAGGAACTCAAGAACTACCAGAGTGTTATTGAGAGTCTACATGAACAAGCAGCCAGTTTGGGAGAACAGGTCAGTTGAAACATCATCTCTTTCTCAAGTAGCTCAATATTTAAGTGGAAACTATTGAGAAATCCCATCTGAAGTGTGAAAATAACAACATGTAAGATGCAGTTATGATTGTGATTAAACTTGAAGAAGATGTTGTTTTTTTTCAAGACAACCAGTTTCAAGAGTTAATTATAGTTGTATATACTAAAATGTTTTTCTCTTCTATGTAGAATAAGGAATTTATTCAATATTATATTGGACCTAGAGAATGCTTCTCAAATACGTTGTTTCCTATGTCCCATTAGATAACATTATTGAGTTATATTACATTAACTTCATGTCCCCTAGGATCGTGAGTCTCCTGATGTCCAGAGTCGATTGGGTAGTATTGACCGTCGCTACCAGGAACTTCTGGAACTGGCTAAACTGCGGAAGCAGAGACTGCTCGATGCGCTGTCTCTGTACAAACTCTTCAATGAGACTGATGGTGTGGAAACATGGATTGATGAGAAGGTGTGTAACCACTGTTTGTTGTATAATCACTATCGTGTATAAGTGTTTTGGCTAGTAATGCAACTTTTCGAACATGAAAAATAAGTTAATAGTTTACATTTTTGAACCTGTATCAAGGCCCTTACTTGACCATCATCTACAGAAAATATATTGTGCTTTGTTATTTCAGGAGAAATTCTTGAGCACAATCATTGTATCTGATGACATTGAAGAGCTTGCAATAATGAAGCATCGTTTCGAGAGCTTTGAGAACGAGATGAATGCCTCTGCCTCAAAGGTCGCTGTTGTTAATCAACTTGCTCGCCAACTACTCCAAGTTGAGCATCCCAATGCTGAGGATGTCATTGGCAGACAGAACCAACTTAACCAAGGGTGAAAATACAAATATACATATAATAGATGTATAGAAGCAAAGAAGGCTGCTACAAATTGAATAAATCTGTTTTGTATTTGAAATCCTTTCTTGATAAATGTTTATAGTAGTGTTGTTTTTGATAAAAAGTATAGTGTCTTCTTTTGAAAATGAAGGAAGTTTATATAGATGAGTAATCATGACACATAATTGGTAATTAGTTTTCAAATACCTAGCAGATGAGGGTAGTTTGTTTGTGGGTACATTATTAGGTTAGGAAGTAAACAGAGGGTTATTCGTTTTTGTTTGCAGCTGGAACAACCTTAGAACACTTGTGGACCAGAAACGTGATGAAATCAACCTTGCTCATGGACTTCAGAACTTCCATATTGAGTGCAATGAAACAATTGTAAGTTGAAGTGTGAGGGAAGTAGTACAGTATTACGTTAAATGATGTTTAACTGTTAAACTGCTTCTTTTATTACCATAGCCATATTGTCTTGCCAATAAGGTTTTTACACAGTGATGATGTGACAAAAGTTCTTAACATGTTTACTTGCAGAGCTGGATTCATGAGAAGAGCAAGATTATCGAATCAACTGATGATCTTGGAAATGACCTGGCTGGAGTTATGACTTTACAGCGCAGACTCAGCGGCATGGAGAGAGATTTGGCTGCCATACAGGCTAAGGTAAATAACATTCTGCATTTTTCACAACTAATGTCATCAAAAATTCAGTGAATAAAATGTGATAAAAGTTCTACAGGCCAGCATGGCCAACTACTTTTGAATAGAACTGACCCCCTGAAAATGTCACTAGTCCACTATTTCCTGGAACTGTAAATATAGGCTATCAACAGCAGGCCCCCTGATTTTGCTGATGCCTACTGACCAAAGGACCTGCAGTTATATCTACTTCTTCAGATTACAATGTTCGATCACAGTAGTGGTATACAGTTGTTATGTCATGCATTTATTAAGAAAAACATCCCTTTTCCTTTATAATTGAAGTTCATGGGATGTTCCATCCCCCTTATTATTCTGGTTTAGACCCCGGTAACCTATGCTAATTGTGAGAGGTGACTGAATGGAATTGGGCAGCCAGGCTCATAGACATATACAGGAAGGGATGGATTTAGCTATTTCAAACCGACACAAGTGCAACTTATTATCGAAAAATGCAAGAATAATATTTTTGTCTACATGCACCAAGTGCATATCAAACATTTCAAGACTAACCATTATTTGTCATCAAGTGTGGGTACTTCAAGATCATGTGCAAATGTGCCTTAAATGAGCCCTTACAGGCCGCTATGATATGGATGGAATATTGCTGAATGCGGATTAAAACAATGTCTAGTTATGTTTTTTAACCTTACCTCCATATGTTGACATGGAATATTTGTGTACATTGACATTTAAGGTAATTTCTATTTTATTTTAGCTGGAGTCCCTCCAAGCTGAGGCAGAGAAACTCCAGGATGAAAAACCAGAGGAAGCCCAGGCCATTCGGGAAAAGGTTGCAGAAATTAACAATGTCTGGATGGATCTCAAAGACATGGTAAATATTTCTGGAATGATTTTTTTTGACAATGATAGCATCATAACCTAGTCTCAGAGAAGGCAATGCCTGTAAGGCCTGCCTGTGTTGATCAACATGAGACAAGTCGTCAGTGAAAGTATACAACATCAGACAAGTACATGTTCTTAACATACTAGTTATTTAATAAAAATTATAATTGAAAAATGAATTCAGTTGTTTTGAGAGTAGAAATTACAAGTTTGTCTTTGATAGATTCTTCTATTTCATGTGCTAACTGTAAGAATAACACATTTACAGCTCAAAGAAAGAGATGAGAAACTTGGAGAAGCTGGCGAGCTTCAGCGTTTCCTCGGAAGCCTGGACCACTTCCAGCAGTGGTTGTCCCGCACACAGACCACCATCGCATCAGAGGACATTCCTAACAGCCTGGCTGATGCAGAGAAACTTCTCAACCAACATCAACAACTCAAGGAGGAGATAGATGCATATGGACCTGAGTATGCTAAGATCAAGGACTTTGGCGACAAGGTTATCAAAGAGGGAGAAAAAGATCCACAGTACATGTTCCTTGAGCAGGTCAGTAGACAATACTGTGTCTGGTTATATACAGAGTAATGAATGAAACATTAACAGACCAATATCAGGAGATATTTTACTGACTTTGCCAGATAATGTCACTGATAGTGTTTCAAGCTGCACTTCTTCCTTGTAGCTTGCTTTCGTATAGTGATCATCCCATACTTCACAAACGTATGCTTGCAAGTAAAAAACTTTATGATCTCTTTCATGTAATTTCTATTTATATGATTCGCTTCATGTTGTTAACTGATAAGGCATGAACAGTATCAAGACTGTTAAAATCAGACAGCATCTTATTGAAGACTTATTTGGTTTCAGCGCTTGATAGCTCTTGATGATGGATGGAAAGAACTCCACCAGATGTGGGATAACAGACAGCAGCTTCTGTCACAATCTCTCAATCAACAGGTAAAACAACACACTCAGATAACTTCACACATATTTGTTAACATTTAGATGTTGTAAAAACAATAACACAAAGAAGCAAATATGGGGAAAAAATATTTTCTCTCTCTGATAACAAGAATTACTTGTTGAATAATGATTAGTGGATGAGAACACATTTATACTTAATTCAAGTTATTCCATGTTCTGTGTATCAATGTGTATAGTGTATGAGGGAGTTAGCTTAAGGGTTTGTTTACAATTGGATGTATCTATTGCAGATGTTCCTGAGAGATGCAAAGCAGGCTGAAGTGCTTCTCAATCAACAGGAGAACTTCCTGTCCAAGGAGGATGTTCCTGTGAGTGTTTCAATCAGTTGCTGGTTTTTGTTTTCTGTCTAGGAGTAAGGAGTATGGATATACCCTAAAATCTATGCAAATATTTAAAGTCTGTAGGAAAAATAATATTTGTGAACAAGATCTCTGGCTTACTGTCAGTTTCAAACGTCTTGGTATCTTTATTGCAAATTTACTAACAATATGTAATTCCTCTCTCATCATTCTTGTATACAGTTGTACACTGGAAAGCATCACAAAATCCTTTTGATTCTGTATATTCTCCAGTCAAAACAATGTATATGAACAGGTTTTGAAGATATTTTGTGTGATTTTGTGATGTTTTCCATGTAATCGATCATGTATCAGTCCCAAAGTCATGATATTCATAGACAACACATTTATGAATGTTCTGTTGTTTTGCATTCAACTTTTGAATGAGGCATGCTATTTTAGTCCTATATCACATGCATCTTCTGGAAAATGATGCTAATATTTTACAAGCAGACTTTGTCACTGTCATTGTGAAGTGATATCTAGTAATGGCTACCAACCTTGCTTTCAGAGAACTTAAAATGATTGGTTTGTTATGTTGCCATGTACATCAAACCATTCAAGTAATCATGTGACAATGGAAGTACTTAATGATTTGAAAAATATCGCATAAATAGATAAATAAAAGGATTTGGTGGAAGAATTATTCCTTAGTTCATGGTTGCATTTGTAGAACAAAATGATTTATGGGAGCGAGTTTGGCAATTGCCATGGTGTATGTTACTGTATTGTGGTCCCTGTTCTGTTGTGCAGAGCACCGTCGGGCTGGTAGACAGACAGGTAACAGCTATGATCAGATAGTTAGCTTGTCAACATGACCAGTGCATGGGGCCTACTATTTACCGTTGCATGTGTCAAGTCCACAATTAAAGACATGCATGAGCTTTAAGTATATATTTTGTGTTGATTCTGAAACTTTCTACTTTTTAACCCCTCTCATTTCCATCAATTTAGGACCATTTTGAACCACAGTTTTAATTATTGCTCATTATTGTGTACTTCACTCAAATGTTTTTGAGTGTGAAGTCAGGACAGCTGTGTGTTATTACCATGGGCTGAAAACCTACTTCACTTAAACTCTCTGTTCAAAATAGCAAATATGAAATATATCCTTTAGATATTTGTAAACAAGTTATAAGCTCAAATTTGTCTTCTAAGAGTGACACATGGAAACAAATTTCCTGTTGATCAATGTTCAAGTCTTATGTGTGATGTTTTTTGTTTTTTGTTTGTTTTTTTAAAAAGAAAGATTTCTGTACATTCGATTGATGTATATATAACAGTGTGTCAATGTTGTACATGTTTGTCAAAGTTGCAGAGTCAACACTTCATTCTAAGCTTTCATCATGTTTCATTTCATATATATTTTGCATCATTCATAATATCACAAATAGCCATTGATGAATATTTCAGGAACTTATCAAACCTCACATGCTTTTGTGAACATTTAGTTTATAGCATACATTCAGAAAGAAAGTGTTGTGAAACTTTGGTAGACAACATGGTTGTAAGGAACATTTTAAAGATCTATACAATATTTGGGTTATAATTTGTTTATTAATGTATAGGTGTTTTTCAGTTGATTATGAATTGGCTTAATGAAATTATTTTGCAGTCCTTTGTGTCCTAATAGTCTTTTTGATGTATTTGCTGTTAAATGTCAATCATGTATAACAAAAAAAGAATAATTATAGGCCTTACATAAAATGGAAACAAAACCAATATTATATTGTTTGAGAAATCATGACAAATTCAGACATCCAGATAAAAATTTGCTCCCCCTGGCTTTCTGCATGTGATAAACCTATGTATGTCTTACACACACACACACATATATATATATGTATATGATGTATGTAGAGTTTTGTCATTTACTTATATTCAGGCCTAAAATATTGACTAATGACCATGAGCTATACCAGAAATTGATTGTATACTATAGCTTGCTTTTAATTTTGTGCATCTGAAAAAAAAGTTTTCTGAAAGATCAATTGACTCCATGTGTATATCTTGCAGTAGGTAGGATCTAAATAGAAGAATGATTTTGTCTGGAATGTACTTGGTAGACTTGAATGAAAATCACTTCCAACTTCTTGAATGTATGTCAATAAGGTGTAGACAGTATTATGATTTGTACACACACTATAAAAGGAATACACACTGTCACAGTAGAGTTATGTCACCAGTATTTATATCTTGTTAGTTGGAACAGGACTTAAAATTGAATCATTTTGATTACGAGGTGACATTTTTTGTCCAATTGCCATCATTCCATCATACTCATGTAGATCATTGTGCACAGGTTTCTGTTATCCAACAAATGTCATAAAGATCATTTTCCTTGAGGAGGCTTCATGACATTTCTATGTGATAATTCAGCATTTCTTTGTATTTTAGATGCTGTGGTGTGAACATCACAAAGAACTTGACTGGTGCTCAAATGTTAAAATTGAATGTTTGTTTTTGTAGAATTCAGTGCAACAAGCTGAGAATCTCATTAAGTCTCATGAGGCTTTCATCACCACCATGGATGCTAATGATGAAAAGATAAATGCAGTGCTACAGTTTGCTAACAGACTCATAGATGAAAACAATTTTGCTGCTGACAAGATTCATAAGAAGGCAGAGAACATCAATGAAAGGTATGTCTTCCTCCCAACATATTTCAGTGACACGGATAGCCCAATCATCTAAGGCACCGCAATTCGCTTTGTAGAGTTACTTTTCTTGGGCACCACAGAAATTTCTGATCATGGGTTCGAATCTTGGTTTTCCCGGATTATGTTCCTAGGTTTGTCCATGTTCATAGGTTTCACCAAAGTGGTGAACATCTGAGATCTGCATCATTTTGCACTTTCCTCCCACATTAAGCCGACACACCGTGATATAATTGGAATTTAATGGAAAGTGGTGTTAAAACGATCTTGCTCACTCCATCCAGTGTATTGTTATTGGAAGGCTTGCAAAATCTGGAAAGTCTGGGATTTATGTGAAAATAGCAAATGTCACTGAACATTAAAAGATATTTCAGTTCTTTGACTCACATCATTTCTGATGAGAATCAGATGTAAGTTGTAAAGAAACTTGTTTCACATTATGATAGTCAGGCAAGGGTGGCTTTTATCAGAAACAGACAAATATTTCAGTGTCAGTGTATGATACTGACTGGTGACAAGTTGTGTATCCAGGATGTTATTATCACTGTCCTCATTAACCTAGATCACATTAAATCCTTGGTGAAATGTTTTGCTACAATATGAAAGAACATATGATGATGTATGTGCTGGAATCCAAAGGGTAACAAATTGCTTGTGACAGTTTAAGATTTTAGAGCATAGATACCTGTAAACTAATCTCCTAAACTTGTGAGATATTTGCCGATGGTCGGCCTGTTCTTTGTACCATATGATTAGCAATTGTGTGAGTTAGGGTTTTCAAACTGTTGTCAAGATACATTAGAGACATATTGTCGGCTATGTCTCTACTTATCTTCAGTGATTGTTGCCAGACTTTTATACGTCCTTCAAAGAATTTTAATGAAAAATGAGATAGTGTTTTGTTTATTTGGTAAACAAAAATAGACCATGGTATCAGGATAATGTTATATTACTTGGATGAATAATGAGATGAAAGTGTTTATGGTAGGAAATTGGCACTATTCCGCATTTGTCCTTTTAATGTCTCTCTTGAAGCATTTCAAAGTGATGTTATTGGTAGAACACAAATAACTCTTCACTTGTGATACAATGAGTGTGAGTGAAGAGGTGTAGAGTTGTTTCATGAGTTTGGTCGGTGTGTTGCAGGCGATGCAACAACAGACAGCGCGCTGAGGAGCAGCTTGAGAGGCTCAAGGACCAACACACACTGCAGCAGTTCCTGCAGGAGACAGATGAGGTGGGTGTTTGATGATGATGATGATGATGATGATGATGATGAATGTTAAAAGCTGAATACCCAAACTGTACTTACAACCTAATCTGTTAGAGTAGCCTCCAGAAGCATTTGTCTAAATATGATATCTTGGTGTATGGCGTATCGGCATAGGACATATTGGTTCATAATATATCAGAGAATATCTTGGCACATAATATGTCGAATGACAACTCTGTCCACATAAAGTTCTTGCACAAAGTTGTAATAGGGCAATAATACTAATACTTTGCATGAGGTCTTCAAATCAGTACTTTGGTATTTTATTAAATTAGTATCCAGAGACTTTGCAAGTACATGTATTGAGTAGCACCATGTGATAATGATACAAGGTGAAAAAGACAGCTATTACAGGTGGAAAAGTGCTTGAATTTACTTGGTCTGCATCATAGTCTATAGATAATTGTCTTGAACTCCTTGGAATGTGTAAATACAGTGCAAGTGTTTATTTGACCAGGTTACAACATTTATGTAAGACTGCCTCCAGCTCTCACAGGCACGGAGCTGAGATTGATGCCATTGTGATAAAACATTCTTTGGCCAGCACAGTGATTACATAAGTAAATAGAGTGTGATGGTGATAAATTGATAACCCTTGCAGGAATGCCATCAGTGAGAGCAATTCATCTCAAAGAGAGCACTGTTTATTTTAACATTATCAATTACACAACCTTCCAATCTTACCTGATCTTGTATAAAGCCACTGGGACTTTGATAGATGTTTCACAAGGTGAGATGGCTTCTAATTTCAACTTAATCATATAGTCGACCCAATATATTTTGAAAGGCTTAGTGAATCTTTAAAAAAGCCTTTATGTCAGGTGTTATTGCAGTGAAACCTGTAATATGCCCCCTGTTTTAGCTGAGTGACTGGCTGGCAGACAAGATGGCTGCAGCTCAAGATGAAACATACCGGGATGCGAAGAACTTACATAGCAAATACATGAGGCATCAAGCTTTCGAATCTGAGATTGCTGCCAACAAGGAAAGACTTGGAAAACTGATACAGGTTAGTTTATTCTATTAAATCTCTATTCTTCAGAATCTAAGATTACCTGATCATTTTATGATTAAACAAATTCAAGAATGCCTTACAGTATTTGCAATATTAAATGTCCCCCGACAAACTTCTAAACCAATACACACGTCATGTTCATAAGTGCCTTGTGCTAGGCTCCAATGTGGGCTTAGTCGTTGTAAATATGACGGACATAAAATAGTCAGATGTTTGTTGATGATGGTGATTCATTTAAAAAATTTGATTTTGTTACTTTCCACTATATGCAGTACTTTTGCACATGCATGTATTGATAGGCCCTTCGAATTATTTGCCAACAATATCGATTGGAAGAGGGTTTTTTAAAATAAAAGATATTTTATAATAGCCTGGGATATACACATGGTTCCAAATAACTAAGAGTCGCCAGTTGAAATGTACTGCAGGCATGAATTATTTGCTTCTATCGAGCTGTTTCACAGTAAATTTAATTCACCGTTTAGAGACATTTGCCTTATTGGCTGACTTTGGCCATTTAGAGGATGTGCAGATCCTTGTCAATGTGATTGCTGTTTCTGGGTTATCAAACAAAAAATCCCACACAACATTACTGATTACAGAGTTTACAAAATACTAAACTGGAAATACAGTTAATGTTGTCAAGGACCTTGTTTCATAACCTATGATCACCTAAGTTTTAATTTCATCAATGTTTAAACTTTGTTTGCTCCTGCTTGATCTCTTAACATTAAGTTTAACTTGTTGTGTATTTCCCCATTGTCAATTGTCTTAGCACCCAGTATTATTATTTCCTGTTAATTTGGTAAGTTGGCAACTCATTCATCAGTGTACTTCATATTTTGATTGAATAATAAATTTTCAGGAGGGTGAGGTCCTTCTGAGGGAGAAGCCAGAATGCCGAGAGCAGTTGGAGCCCTTACTTGAAAACCTCAATAAACAATGGGATGAACTTGAAACCACCAGCAAGTCCAAAGGAGAGAAACTGTTTGATGCCAACCGTGCTGTGCTGTACAAGCAGAGCTGTGATGACATCGATGGCTGGATCACACAACTTGAGTCACAGGTCATCACATCAGAAGACTTTGGCAAAGATCTTACCACAGTCAATCTTCATGTACAGAAACAAAACGTGAGTGAAAATGATCAACTGTTTTAGAGAGATTGTACAAGGATAGAGAACAAGGCTCATACAAGCTTCAAAATGTGCTAAGGCCTTAAATTTAACAATACTTGTAAATGGTCTCACAATTTAGCCTTGATTAATTTTGGAAGACTGAAGGACCTGGAGTTTGTTGATTGAATTTTGGTATTAACCATATTGAAGGTTAGGAATAGAAATTTTCATGTAAAGAAATTCCTGACTCTATACATGTGGTTATCCAATACATTGTAGAATACCATTCTCACTGATTTTGCAAGACAGATGGCATTAGGACATTTTCAGGATTTTTCAACTTTGGAAAGGACATTCTTCAGCTAAACAATGGGGTGTTTGATTCTTTGTAAGAGTACTGTTCAATGTTTCAGCGTGTGGAAAACGAGATGAAGATGAAGGAACAGCAGCTACAGGAGCTGGACGGTCATGTGTCACATCTCAAACAGCTGGAACCAGAACGCGAAGAGGAGATAGAGAGGAGGAGGACCATCGTAGCCGAGAGGTATGGGCTTTTCAGAGTAAAGCGCACAGGCTACAAATCGGGTGAAGTTCAGCAAAGTGTGGTTGCAGATTGTCGTTGAATTGGTGACCATATTCGGATAGGTTAACTCCTGAGAGTTTCTAGGGCTGTATGTGGTTTCTCTTGGGCCAGTGACTTAAGTGAATTTGCTACAGACATATTCTTTAGGGACATTTTCATGATTTTATCAACTTTTGATAAGACATTCTTCTATGTCATTATCTAATCCGATAAAAGTCCTTTGTGGCAATAAGGCAAAGTCCTAGAAAATGAACTGATCTGAAAAAGTGGACTTGGTTCTAAATATATCTCTGTTCACCCAGCAGTGAATGGATACCCAGTAGGATGAGCTGGTAATATTATTTGTTAAGCCCCCACAACTCGTTTTGCTGGGGTTATTAGAATGGACAATGTCTGTGCAAGATTTCATTTCTGAAGCAGATCTTGAAAACTGTACTTTATGTCATCACCAAAGTTGGCACATAGATAGGTTTAGTAGGGGTTTGGGATTTTTGACAGAAATAGATTTCAAATTTCCATGGCCACAAAATATTTATATATAACTGGTTGACATATTCACGACAAGTGTTTACCATTGTGGGGTATATCAATGATTTTGTCCTTGTTTTTGATTGCTTCAGTATCAACTTCAGTATGTTTTTGTTTTATGTCTTTCAAGCAGCATGACAAATGAGGAAATTGGCTCTTACTGAGTATTTTTAATTTCAGGTTTGCCAAGATTCAGCAGCCCCTTGTACAGCGCAGGAACCAACTGGAGAAGGTGAAGCGTATCCATCAGTTCATGCGAGATGTGGAGGATGAGAAACTCTGGATCGCTGAGAAAATGCCAATTGCAGAGTCTAAAGACTATGGCAATAGCCTGCCAACAGTCAACCTGCTGACCAAGAAGAATCATGTGAGTTCCAAATGCACTTGACACTTGAGAAATTGATTGAAGAAACTGTGACAGTAACATGATGCAGAATACTTTACAGATTGTTTACGTCACTGTTATCTTCTCCAAAGTCTGAAAAATCTTCTGGCTTTTAAAAGAACACAAAAAAAAAACCAAACAATTATTCAAAACAATACAGCAATGAACCTTTGACCTTAATGTTTCAGTCGTTACAAGTAGAGATAGACAACCATGAACCACGACACCAGTCAATAGTTGGGTGTGGCCAGGAGCTGATAGATGAGGAACACCCTCAGTCAGAAGAATTCAAAGTGCTCATTGATGATTTGAACAAAAGGTGGCAGGAACTCAAAGATGCTGTTGAGTTCAGGAAGGACAGACTCAACTTGTCCGAGACGGCGCAACAAGTAAGTTTGTAATTCTGCATAAATATATGTCGTCAACTTAAAATCAGGTAATCATGCCTTTGTGTGAAGAGTTTCCTCTGTATGCTGAATGAGTACAGATTTTAAAGCAAACTGTGGGTTGCATCATGTCATAAGACAAAATTGTAAAAGAATTTATTAAGAATGAATTTCTAAAGATAATTATTAAGGATCTGTGTGTTTTGTAGAAACAGTGTATTTAGAGTAGAACAATATTAATGGTATAAATGGAAACAAATCTATGCAAGATATACTGTGATTTATAGATAATTCTGATGTTGTGATCTTACTGAGCTATATCTTGTTTCTAGTACTTTTTCGATGCTGCCGAGGCTGAGTCGTGGATGAGCGAACAGGAGCTGTACATGATGGGAGGTGAACGGTCCAAGGATGAGATCGGTGCACAGAACATGATGAAGAAACACCAAGGTTTGGAGAGAGATGTGGAGGACTATGCTGATGTGGTCCGGCAGCTGGGAGAGAGGAGTCGAAACCTCATGGAGATCAACCATCCTGACAGGTCTGTTGCTTTTGTCAGTACACACATCTCTGTGGAGGATGGAATGCATTTAAGGACAAATACTGTAGCATGTTGATAATTGAAATATAATGTTACTGTAAATTGCTGAACCGTGATAAGAGGAAACTTACTGGGAAGCAAAGCAAGTCATTTTATGGTGCAATTTGAAAGGTTTTTTGTTTTTTTTGTTTTTTAAATATTGAAATGTTTGTTTGTGCAGTGATTCCATCGCGGTGCGCCAGTCACAGGTAGACAAACTCTATGCTGGTCTTAAGGATCTGGCGGGTGAAAGACGGGGCCAGATTGAGGAAGTGCTCAAGCTCTACACACTCCGGCGAGAGATCGATGATTTGTTGCTGTGGATCCAAGAAAAATCCATCCATGCTGGATCAAACGAGCCAGGACAAGATTACGAACATGTTACTGTGAGTATTTGTTTGTCAATATTTGTTGTAAAACGGACCTGCGAATTGTGATTATGAAAATGATTACATGTTATGGCATACACTGAATTCACCAGGTGCAAGCTACTCAATATTATCTCCAATTTGAAGCTAGAAGTTATGCCACTCCATTGTATATTCCTGTTATATATTAAATACATTAAATATTTCGATTTTGCTTGAAACTATCTTTTTTGTGTTTGAAAATCTGTCTGTTTCTGAGCTAAAATATCATGTGTTCTCTTTCAGATCCTTCAAGAGCGATTCAAGGAATTTGCCCGAGAAACTGAGAACATGGGACAAGAACGTGTGGCGAGAGCCAATGACATCTGTGATCAGCTTATTGCTGCGGAACATACTGATGCTGCATCAGTTGCTGAATATAAAGACACTGTGAATGAAGCATGGACAGATTTACTTGAGTTGATAGACACACGGACACAGATGCTACAAGCTTCATTTGAGTTACACAAATTCTACCATGATTGCAAAGATATTCTTGAAAGAATATATGTAAGTATCAAGTGGTGGCTTCAATTTGTGTCTATAGTCATAAACAGGATCAAGAATACCAATCCGGGACAGACTAATGGCTTGTCTGAGCGCCTTACCAGTTTTGTTATGGAAGAATCTGGATTAAGATGACGAGTCTAAAGTGTCTTTCTCTTTCCTTAAAAATCATAAGGTAAAAATCTATTTCAGGAAAAGAAAAACCAGATTCCAGAAGAACTCGGGCGTGACGCAAGGAGTGTAGCAGCCCTTCAGAGGAAACATGCTAACTTTGAAAATGATTTGATAACACTTGGAAACCACGTAAGAAATACTCACTACTGTTCATTTTGTTGACAGACCCACTTTGAGAAAAGGGGGCAAATCTTGTAAAATGTTAAGTTAAGTGTATGTATATTTGACAAATTCAACACATATATATATATATAAGGTATAAAGTACTGTAAAAAAAAAATATGGACCTTCTAGTTGCTTCATTTGCAATTCAAATGTGGTTCAAAAAGACTATTTCAGTGTTAGAGATTCTTGATTTCAGTAATTATACCCTGACAATTCTCATAAATTTGGTGTCATGTTCCAAGGTTGAAGCCATCCAGACGGAGGCTGTGCGTCTCCAGGCGGCCTACGCTGGAGGCAGCATGCAGGAGATCCAGACCCGTGAAGTAGAGGTTGTCAATGCATGGAGAGATCTGCACTTTATGGTGGACACTCGACGGAACCGACTTGCTGACGCCAGCGACCTGTACAGGTTCCTCCTCATGGCCAAGGATCTCATGCTTTGGATGGACGACATCACGCGGCAGATGAATACTCAAGAAAAACCAAGGTGACATTTCTGGTTTTCTACTTGGGACTGGTTGGATTGCTAAGTGGTTAGTGGAGTAGCCTTTGTCAGGCATAAGATTCTCCCACTAATTCTACATGTGAATGTTTGTATCTGTGTGTTTGCTGACATATCACAACAGTAATATTATTGAAGAGGTTTTAAATCCCTTTCGCTGTCTTTGTCAATTTTGTGTTTCTAAAGAGTAACAATTCCGTTTGAAGGAGTGTAATATAAGCTTTTGCTGCCACTGGGGAAATGTTTCAGTCACTATGAGCACTATGAAACTTATTTAATACAAGCATTCTCAGTTACCTGGTTTTGGATATCTACAAATAATCATCATTTCACATTGTTCAGAGCTATGAATGTCAATACTGACTGTGTGTTTACAGAGATGTATCCGGTGTGGAATTGCTGATGAACAACCACCAGAGTTTGAAGGCCGAGATTGATGCACGGGAGGAGAACTTTGCTATCTGCATCAACCTTGGAAAAGACCTCCTGGCAAGAAAACACTACCGTTCAGAAGAGGTATGTCATGGTGGAGAAATTGTCACTTTCTAGTATAAGGAAGTCAGAAATCATAATAATACATGCACAATTGTCATATTGTTATTAGAATAATCAGTGTTTAAGGTAGTTGGACAAATTGTTTGATAAATCAGGGAAAGAGATCAGATACATGTGAGCACAAGATCCATTAGTGAGTTAGTCAAAATGTGAGCAATTTCTCAGCCATTTACTGACCCAAATCTATAAGAGATGTGTGAACCAAATGTTACTTGGAACTCATTATCATCGGTATTCCTGCATGTATTTTAATACATGATGAGCTCATATCTAATTCTCATACTAATTCCAGGTCCGAGAAAAACTTATCCAGCTTACCATCCAGCGCCTGGATATGAGTGATCAGTGGAACGAGAGATGGGAACATCTTCAACTTAGTGAGTGTTTTAGTGTTCAAAACCTGGTCAAAAGAGACAATTTTCTGATACTGTTTTTGAGGAACTTTACATACTAGATCTGATCATATCACTACACTGTATATAAAGGCTTTTGTTGTTTTAAGATTTTTGGACATCATGATACAATTAAAATTTTCATCATGTGCATCTGATGAAGTAGATAAACCTTAAAATACAACAGTTACTGTTGATAACTTGGTGGCAAGGGTTTGTTTCAGTTTGATTGGAGGTGGTTAAAATGGCATGTTAGCTGACTGACTGTTGTAAATGTTCACAGTTTTGGAGGTGTACCAGTTTGCCCGGGATGCTGCCGTGGCGGAAGCTTGGTTGATGGCACAGGAGCCATACCTACTAAACCAAGACCTAGGAGTGAGTACACGGCTGGTTCTCATTAGAGACTTAATCATGTACTTCCACTGGATAGCTACATGTACATGTGAAGATTTGTTCACATAACAATGTTTTGTGTAATGATGTCTTTTGTAATTTAATTACATTTACTGTAATATGCTTGCAGTGTAATTTTGAAACATTTCAAAATGTTATTGTTTGATCTTCATATACAGTAATCTTGTTGCGATGTATTTTTGTTTACAGGAAACATTAGATGCTGTTGAAAATCTGATCAAGAAGCATGAAGCCTTTGAAAAATCAGCTGCTACACAGGAAGAAAGATTTGCTGCTTTAGAAAAATTAACAACAGTAAGTAATTTGAGTGTCATACCAAATTGTGAATCTTCTGGTACACATTTTGGAATCATATTCTTGCTGTATTCATCACCAAATAAAGTAAATATGAGGAATATTATGCTCTCATTATTTGTAGTTCAAGCATGAATGTGCAAAAAAACGTTTATGGTGAAGAGAATAAGATATGAAATTTTGCAGTGCAAAGTTTTAAACCTTCATATGTGCAAAAGTCTTTTCATTACATTGTAATGTTTTATGTCTAAAGTCATTTCTCCTTCTATTTCAGTTTGAAATGAAGGAGAGGAAACGCCGACAGGAAGAGGAGTATGGCAAAGAACATCCCGAGGAAGTGTCCCGTGCTAAGGAGGAGAGGAGAAGACGACACATACAAGAGTTCCTGCCCCCAGAACCTGAGTAAGAAGGATATACTAATAATCATTTAAACCTTCAAATGGAAAATCTGTGTCAGCATTTAACTGTATGTGTTCACTTCAAATCGCCTTATTCATCACTTGTCCGGAAGGGGCACAGGGGGCGTGAGGAACTGAATCTCACTGTGCAGTGTCATGTCTTAGCTGCCAGGCTGTGCTTGTCATCAATTCAATCCAATCTTGGAAGACTTATGTTTGCCCCGATGATCAACTGGCCACTAGTTAAGGACTAGGACTAGTAGACATTGCCATTTTTAAAGATTTTGCTGTATGTTATTGCTATAAAGACTAGTGGAATATATTAAGAGTCTATTGCTGCTAAAGTGGTTTCATAGTGTCTGTAGATGAATGCTTATTTTCCAAAATGCTTTTCTAGACCCGAACCTGAACCTATTGTTGAGAAACCTATCCAAACCTCACCCCCTGATGAGGTGGTGACGGATGAAGCCCAGGCCCTTGTGAATGGAGATAAAGAATCTGAGGGTGAGCCAGGTATGGTGTGCCCCCTCTTTCCTTTGCTCTATTTCAGTACCACTCTGGGCACACTTATTCACATTTCAATACCACTATGGTTGCACTATATGATTACTATTTATGAATTATCATAAAAATAATGCTTATGAATATGATTTATTAGTTTTGTTTATTAATGTAATGCTGAAATATGTTTGATAAAGTTTGAGAAAAATGTGTGCCCAGATTGTTGCTATGGTGAAAAATTGGCATGTTTGATTTCAATTATAACTGCTCACACTATGTTATAAACAGAGACATTAAATATATGTACGTAAACAATACAGAATGTGAGCAGTTATGATGTATCTACAAGGGTTTTACATGATGTTAAATACCTGCATATTTGATGCAATAATTTTCAAAACAATATACTGTGGGTCATCAAACGAAATGTGATTGTGAAATTGCAGTGAATATGTTTCATATCATCTACAGTGAATCTCATCTTTCACATCTCAATCATCCCTTCCAGAAAGTTGGACAAAAGCTCACACAATGTATTTGAAAATTGAATCAGATGATAGATAATTTATTTGCTGATAACACTTTAAAAGATGGAATCATACTGCCTTTAGATACAGTACTAGTTTGAGCTTTACTCCGAAATTACATCCATATTCCAGAAATCCAGGCTACAAGCTCATCATAGGGTTTAGATTGATATATATCTCTGTGCCTTTAACAAGTCATCCTTCAAAGATTGACTGGCAAAATGAAAATGTACATTGTAATTGTAGACATTTAAAACTTTTTTAATTGAGGATCTCTGTGATAAGTTTGTAGCCGAGGTGGTTTCACCATCCTGCATGTTGCTGCCGCTCATTCACTTACCAGCCAGACAGAGCCTGTCACTCTTGCATGTATCTCAATATACACTTTCATGTGATACTGCCATCGCTGCTGTCTGTACAACTAGTTCCATGTGTGTCAAGTGGCGCTTACAGCAGCCAGCAGTGTATCCCTTGCTGTCCATATGCTTGCCTATTTGTTTCACTTGATTGGAATTTGTTTTCATTTATCTCGTCAACAGTGTATTTAATTGATACACATTTTGTAACTTTAGCACAGGTGAGTAGTCAGTGTAGGTAAAGGCTTGTGAAGTTGGTGAGAATGAGAGAGTGTGTGATTGTTTTGATTTTCTTAACATGAGAGGTATGCATATTTTAACCTTCATTTTTTTAACAAAATATTTATTTGCTCACCTTACCAATTACCCGCAGCTGATGCCTCTGGCCAAGTTTGATTAATATCAGTGCTGCTACAATAACACTGATGACTATGCCATGCTTTGATCCCCAAAGTCATGCCAGGTTTCAAATGGTATACACTACTTGAGTTAGGCGTGTGTCGTGTTAAGGCACTGACTCTTTGTTCATGAACACAGGGGCCCGTGGTGGAAGAGCTCCACAATTGCTTCAGAAACCTAAAGGTGACACACTTTGTGTGTGATGTGACATTGCTGTGATTAGATAGAGAAGATATTGCTTGTTCTACAAATATTAAAACATGACTTTATTCTTACGTAAGTGGTTGTTGGGCCAGTTTTCTGAAAATGGAAGGGTTTTAAAGGAAAGACATTTCCCTTGTTTGTGATATAATGAAGATTTCATCTGTTTATTTGAGCAAGGTTAATTATTGCATTTTTAGAATGTCAGTGGCATTAATTTCTTTCCCTGAGTAGTTAAAAATGATACCTATTATCTGTAGGTTTTGACCACTTTGTAGTGCAACTGGCCCAGCAATAACTCTTAAATTAAACAACGATTGTTTTGTGCCACAAACAAAATAACATCAGATCAGATGTATTAATATTTTACGAGAATGTGGTAGTTAGCTCTTGAGGGTAGTGGAAACTTCCAAGTTCTCGATATAACCTGCATTTTGACTCTTGGTGTCTCTTGATTGAAGCATGCAGTAATATGACTGCATATCAAGGAAATATATTTATTCCTCTGAACTAAGCCTGCATATCATTGAGTTCTCCTCAAAACCATGCATGTATATATTGAACCTGTCCCCAAGCATGCATAACCTTACCTCATCCAATATGTCCACTTGCTGCTTCCTGATGCATTACTGTGCTGCATTTATATGTATGCTCATGTTTTGAAAAAATGCAAAGCTCTATATTGGCATGTAATTGCCTCTAAAACAATTAACTTCATCTTTAACTGTCACTTGTACATCATTTTTGTTTCATCAGTGTGACATTTAGCTTCATCATTGTTTATTAGTTCAGTTGTGTTGATCTATTTTAGTATTTGTTGACTTACAGTTGTGCTAGTTTGAATATATCTGTCAGAGTAGAATATATGTAATTTTACCTTCTGAAACCACATTTGTTAAATAAATCATTGATCATTCTCCAGAAGTTCATCTGCGAAAGATGTGAATATATAACAAATCTATCTCTGCTGACAGATATAATGTATAGCTACTGCATGACTGTTCAATAGGTGATGCCAATTATTCAAAACTTGTGTGTGTAACTTAAAAATAATTAAGAGTTTTTGCATTTTCAATAGGAATTACAACTATTCATATGTTTGTTTCATATGAACCATTCATTTGGAGACTTTTTTTCTTTTAGGTAAATGTTGTTTGTTTTTAAAAAACCCAAACATATTTGGCATTTCCTGTTGATTTAAGATGCTCCTAAAGCTTGAAGCATTTTCCCTTACAAATGTGTGAAAAATGGGTAAAATAACAGGCATTGCCATTTAAAACTCACCGCTGTCTTGTAAAGTAACTACATGTATACAAAATAAATAATATTTTCTCCCTAATGACAGTATACCCAAATTTGAAGCAAATTGCCTTCATATTTGGGAAATCCCTGGTCATACTCCGGCTACTCTGCTACATGGAGCATTTTACAAATGTTTATGCATGTACTGTTGTATTTGTTTTAAGTTAGTATTTACTTTGTCTGTGTTTAGCATGTAAGTGTGCATGGTGTTTTTAAACAGTAGATAGAGAAGAAGTCAGCCCACGTAAACCTGTGGAAACGACACCTCAGAAAGAGGCTGTGACCCCGGTCACTTCTGCGACCTTGTCACCAGAGAGTGAGTCGCCTCAGGTGGGCGATCGGCCGACATCTTCCCCACGGTCGTCAAGTATGTTGTTGCAGAATGCTGCTTGTAATCATACACTATATATACCCTGTTTGCTAACAGTTATAGGGGTAACAACCAGGGGCTTTTTCTGCAATCAATGCAGATCTTTGGCATTATTTTATCTTAAATTTTTCATTGTAATTTTTTGCTTTAATAGACCATCATTTTGGGGTAGTTTTTTTAATTAATTAATTTTTCTTGAAGCTTTTTGATATTTTGTCACTATAAGATCAGTCTGTGCCAAATACTTATCGAGTCCAAACATGTATTTTTGCATTATTTTCAGTAGATTTTATTCTTACCATATGGACAGTATAAGCTGATTGTACTAGATCAGAAGATATTTTACTGGACTGGGGATTCAGATTAGTAAAACTTGCAGACTGCTAGATATAGCATGATGTGTTCATATATTCCATATATTTTCATATTCAATGTGTGTAATTTGCAGTTGAGTATGTTGCACAAATAATTATTCACATTCACATTCAAGTAATCCTACACAATATATGTGTATAAAGGTCACTTGTATTAATCACGTACTTCGTAACATCCCTAATAACCACACCCCACAAATACCCTCAAAACATTTTTCAAACTACATGTGCTTTAAAAGAAAGTGCATTTAAACAGGGTCCACATGACTGTGAACACATTTCATTGTGCACTACAATACAATACAGTTCAGTCAGTATTGTATATATCTTTGATGTTTTGCCACTATTCAGTAAATCTGTGAACAAAGAAATATGTCTCTTCAGTGAGCCGAATTTTGAAAAGGCTAGTCTTCATTTGGCTTGTATGACCCAACAGCATTTAACATTTCCCTACTATAAAATACAGTTAAAGGACATTTTGATTAGAGATGTCATTGTATTACGCGATATTGATGTATTAATAATATTATTATGTAGATACTGTTTCGATTACAAATTTATGAATGTCGATGCTTAATTGATAATTCACTGCCACATAGACATTTACATTACCATGGTAAGGATGGACAGTAAGAAGGCCGAAAATTCAAATTTTAGACATTTAATGGATCTGCCAAGTTCATATTGAGAATTATGTTGATTAATTGCAGGTCTAGATAGAATTTATTTTATCCATATACACACAGAATCGCTAACTTTGATATTTAATGATATATCATGATACTTTTTTAAGTCTATATATTGATACTAAACATTCCAATCAATGACATCTCTAATTTTGATCAGTCATGAAATATTTAATCCCAAATTTCAATTGAGATCTGATACATTTTAGATTTTTTGGATTAGTGGTCACCCAGGAATCACAAGTACTAACCACATGCAGTTTGTTTGTCCATATAAGCTTGTGCACATACTGTCAGTGAATAGACATTAGCTATTTGCATGATAAAGCTTTTTTGTTTTTTTCTACCTAAGTATTTTATATTAGTCTCATTATATTAGCTTGACAAGCAGTGCCAAAATAGCTGCTAGAACCAAACACAGGAAAAAGATTATCTTAACATATGAAACAAGCAAATATCCGGAATGGTTTTTTATGATTGAAGGATGAATTGATATCCGTGGTCCAGGATTGGTTTGTGTATCACTCTAACCGTAGGGTGCCTTTAAAGAACTAATTTTGGAGGGACGTCTGATTAAGAGTGAGTACTACCAATCAAGCTCACACTTCAGGACAGCAGATGTTGCTGTTGATCTGCCATAGCAAGGATAGGATATAGGATAGAGGCAGAACAAATAAAATATCAAATAAACTTTTGGTTTCATATTGGACAATATAAATACTCTGATTTATGGATGTGTGAATTATTGTGGGTTGAGTTTGGAGAATTTGACTGCATTGTGAGTCAATCAGTACCCAAGCACATGACGAAGATTAGCATTCAGTGCATGCAATTTTTATTGGTGGAATATTATTCCGTTTCTCCTGCCTCTGAACATGTGTACTACCAAAGGAAAATGTTTAACAATTGTGGTACTGACTGCCATGTTTTGCATTCTGGTATCTTTCATTAAAACTGATTGGTGTGTTTTCACAAGTGGAAGTGTGATGGAACAGCTTTGTTTGGATTGGTGTGATAGTTGTTGAACAGAGAATCTTTCATAGTAGTTTCTGGTCCCAAAGAGTTCGTTCTATAATGGATATGCTGTTCTGCAAGACTTATTACCACAGGAAGCATGAACTTTTCCAGCTTGGATTTTGGTTTCTCTGATTTGAGGACGAGCATGTCATTAATGAAATTTGAGTTAATTTCTACTGCAGATGTATATCTTGATCATAAAAAGGCTTTCACAGTGTAAGCTTTTAAGGAACCTATAACCTTAATATTATGCATTATTAGTATATTTAACCTGTGCTTATAAACATGTGTTTAGCTTTTATTGCAAACTCTATTTAACTATTTAAATTAGTTTTGAGAGAGGTATTCCCATAGGTTACACATTAGATCAGTCTCAACATAATCTGCCACTGCAGTTGGCTACACAGGGCCATTTGGGAGCTTTGCATGGGTAAAGGGTGTATACTGGAAACACATATTGCCTAGGCTGCACTGGAGCTTGATACGGCCTGCAGGATTAACAACACAATAATATTGTGATTCTCTGTATTAGCTAAGGAGAAGAAACGCTCACGCTCCAAATCGCCTTTTGGGAAACTGTTTTCTCGTAAGAAGGATGAAGATGAAGGGCCTACCTTTGAAGGTAAAGCTATGGGAGTGGTCTAGGTAGCGGTCAGCTGGCCAGTGTAGCATGGTCTAGCCACTCTGATGTAGTCTGATAATCCGTGGAGCCCCCTAGCTTGCTGTGGGACAGTGCATGGGAGAACTAGGAGGGGGTGTGTGAAGTGCGCAACTCTTGACATCACTAGATCTTCAGTTGGTTTGAACAAGTTTTATTTTGGTCTATCCCGTTTGTGTGGTGTTTCTGGGGCAGTCACTCATGACTGTCTGGATTTCAGTTTGGAATTATTTTGAGTTTGCTTGGAATGAAGGTAATGAACTTGTACTTTATTTATAAACTCTCTCCCATCTTTAATCTTTATTTTGTTTCATATAACAATAAAACAATTAGAATTATTTCTTTTAGATTTATGATTTCTTTTAGCTTGTAGAGAACAAACAATAGTTCCTTACTAAAACTATATCTAGATAACCAGAACTGTTGTTTTTTCTATTTCTAACCTGCTGGTAAAACCAGATTTGTCAGTCATACAGAATTGAGTTTGTTGGAATATTTAACAAGAATTATCAATATCAATACTACACAATATGTAGTTGTGTGAATATATATATGTTGGATGGGTGAGAGCATCAATGAGTCTGGAGATCCTGACTACACATGAAATAGTTTAGTTCACACATGAAGTAGTTTAGTTTACACATGAAATAGTCAGTGATTTGTGTGCTGTGGATTTTGTACGTGTCTGAATGAGTGATGCTTTGTCACGGATTGAGTTTCAGTGGTGAGAAGCACCAGCAGATTTATCAGTGAATGTGTCTAAGCAGTCCTATGTTATTTTGCACCAGCAATCTCTGCATGGTCAATAGATCTGCACAAGCATCATGTTAGTAGTGGCAACATTTGACTATCATTCATCTGTCTCACTTTGGCTATGCCTGCCATACATTCTGTAACAGTGAAACGTAATGTACAGAGAGCACCTACTTCTTGTTTTGCAGAGCAAGCAAGCGGAGCATCTCCTGAGGCTGTGCATCACGAGGGAGCCCTAACGCGGAAACACGAATGGGAGACGCAGGACAGAAAGTGTACAAACAGGTACAGCTCTTTTCTTGCCGCAACATCAGATAAACTATTCCATGGATTCTGTGTTTATTGACTTCAATATATTTGTAACCATTTATCTGTTTGTCATTGGAATCACCAGTTAAAGTTTACTGGGGGCGGTCGGATAGCCTAGTGGTTAAAGCGTTCACTCGTCACGCCGAAGACCCGGGTTCGATTCCCGACATGGGTACAATGTGTGAAGCCCATTTCTGGTGTCCCCCGCCGTGATATTGCTGGAATATTGCTAAAAGCAGCGTAAAACCAAACTCACACACACATAAAGTTTACTGACAGGATAGTGTTACCTGATCTGATGTTAGATCTAGTCAAGTTGCAATTTTTATGCTTGTGACAGTGACTTTCATTTGTCAAATCACAAAGATAGCTTTGTGTAAGAAAGACTTATACTTCTCATACTTCAGATATGTTAAGCAGCAACATTTCAACATATGGCTGTAAAAAAATAACCAAAGTTGTAATGTTTGCCTTTGTATGAGTATTTCTATTGCATGTCATATTCTCCTGTTTCAGATCTTGGGACAAAGTGTTCACGGTGCTACATGGGGCTTCCCTTTCCTGCTACAAAGATCAGAAGCATGCTAAGTCGGTATGTACAGCCTTCAAATACATTGTAGAACCTTGACATTAATAATATTAGATTCACTTTGTTAGCTACCTTGTGTGCAAGAATAAGTTGACGGGTACGCATCTTGAAACTACTTTGAACTAGTAGACAGATGCAGACTACCAACTTATAGTTGACTGCAGCTGTGATGACACTATTTCTGTGTTTCAGGACCCCAATGCTCGTATTCACCATGAACCAGCAATCGATCTGGAATCTGCCACATGTCAGGTAGCATCTGATTACACCAAGCGACCATTCGTATTCCGCCTCAAGCTTGCCAATGGAGGAGAATACCTCTTCCAGGCAAAGGATGAGGTAAGTAACAAGTTCCGTATGACATTTAAACTGCTTACTTGCGAGCGCAATATGAAAACATTTTGGTGTCTAAGAAACCTTTTACTCACTTAATCTTACATGAAAAGGTTCCATAATAAACTATCATTATTGTCAAAAATATTGGAAATTATTTATGCAGTGATGGGTAGTAATCATTCATTCACCTGGGTATGTACCTATATTTCAGAGTGACCGTAACACATGGATAGCTAGGGTGAACATGTCGACTGGTGGAGAAGGCACCAGCATGCCCACCAAATCTCAGACACTGCCAGCCAGGACAGATGAAAGCCGCAAGGAGGAACACAAAAAGAAAGGATTTTTTACACTAAAAAAGAAATAAAAACGCCTCACCACAGATGAAGTTACCTAACTTTGCTTTGGTTGGAATCTCTATAACATTGGCCACAGACACTCTGCAATACCAGAACAAATCCTGCCCCTGTTTGTGCTACTGGGTCTTTCTGTGATCGGAAACTATAAGACTGGAGAGATTTTAATCTGTATTATAAGACAGAGAAAGACTGATGTTTACTGGACTGGAGACTCAACAATTCAGGGAGAAAGGGAACATTTTGATCTATTTTATATTTTGTTGTTCCACTGTTTTGCCACCTTTTATGGGCTTAATGTGGCCATGTGTTCGTATATGCTGAACACTGAACATTCCATGCTGCCCATTTGATTTAAAAAGCAAACTTTTATTGTTTTACAATTGTACAAATATTTTAAAAGGTTTTACTGTGGACAAAGCCCTATGAGCAGAGCCTGAAGATGCTGAGTAGAAAATTAGGTTAGCCTTTTGCTCACTGGGCGATGTTTACATGGGCTTGTATGGAGCAGATAGCCAGTGAACGTGGGAGATTCCTTTCAAAGCAGAAACTGATGTGGACTTGAGATGGAAACGGAACGTCAAGGAATGGGACATAATGTTATACATAGCATTGATCACTGTCGTCGTTCACTTGTTCATCCCCATCAGTGCTCGCTCGTCGGTGTTCATTTTGTAATGTCGCATTCCATCTATGCAAGGCGAGTTCACCATCAAGCCAATACAAATACTTGTGGCCTCATTTTGTTGACTGGCAAATAAGTGCAAGTCAAGATGTCTAAATTTAGTGACATTTGTACCATGTGACCAAGCTATTCGTATCAGAAATCGGCATCTCATCCTTACCTCCTTGCTGTGACATTTTTAGCATGGCAGCTGTGTTGTGAATCGTGGATATATTGAGCCTTTTCATTTTCTGGCATTTAATGTGTCTGTATTTTTTATTTGTTACCATATATTGCCTATTATGCGCTATACATCATTCACAATTTGCCGACAACTTGCAAGCAACCATTTTGTAGATAGTGTAATGTACGCATGTTGTAATTTTAAGGCATTGTAGTGTCTAGTATATATAATGTCTCCAGGAATTGTAGTTTGTTTCCATGTCATTGTTGGGTTGTGTTATTGTTGACTTTGAAAGGAAACCAGATTGCCGGGATGGGCTATAGGTGCAAGGATGTACTAAATTGAATGTATTCTCCAGATTACACTGTCAGTTTAATGGATAAATACCAGGCTTGTATTACATACTTATGTAGGCAGATCATTTAAATGCTTTTTTGTTTGTTGAATCTTTTAATCTAGATATCAAATTAAAGTTTTAACTTTTTTTTCTTGCGAGAACTAAGGAGACCAGTGCCTGATTGCAATGCCTGGATTTTTAGACCTGAACTTGATTATATACATGAAGTATATCTCCTCATGCATGTAGTTCTCTTCTAGTGCCATGAACTTTCATCATTGCTGTTAAATCTGAATAATCATTGAGCTCTGCTTGGCACCATTCTATCTGTACGCACTCCAGTAAACTGATTGTCTTATGTCGCGGCATAATGGCAGTGTAATAGATGTCCAGTTGACTATCAAATTCTAACTCTTGTGCTTTACCCATTCTAAATTGGGGTGCTTCACCAGGTTTTGTATTTGCTTACAAGGTAAATAAACCATACCAAACTATGTCTGTATTTGTGATTGTTTTTGTCATGTGTATGAAGACCATATTCAAAATTACAAAATCAACTGACGATGCAGCCAAAAAAATGACTTCAATAAAGTTTGCTTTATTAAAGGCTGTTTGTTACTTCCTTCTATACCATATGTATCAGCATGTTCAAAATTGTAAGCACTTTCAGATTCTTATGCATCGAAAATCTACATAAAATTCTGACCTTGCACACACTTCAAAAATGCAAGATCCTAAAACTACCTTAAGTATTTTTCACCTCTTCTGAGGTGAATATTTATTATCCATTGCGAGCCCTTTTGCATGGATTTCAAGAAAATAACAAAAAAGCTTGTTACTAGCTGTTTTTTACCATTGCCAGTGGAATGAGTTACTAGCAGCCCTGTTAAACAGGACTGCTTTAGGCTGTCAGTAAATTGACTGCCACTAACGTGGATTCAGCCGAATAATTGTCCTCAATCATGTGGATTGTATCTTCACTGTATTATGATAAATACCCTGAATCTGCTCCATAGGTATTTTTCTCTGTTGAAATCAACAACTAAAATATATGATTTAAAAACAAACATAGTTCTACATTCAAAATAGCGATTTCATATAAACAAGCCCTTGATAGTATAGCAGTTTACAATGAATGAAGAAATAATACACTGGATGAACAACTGATGTGATACAATAAGTAAGAGGTTGTGACTGAACAAGTCGGTCCCCATACTATGATGGACTGCACTGATGGAGTTGGTAATGAGGTTTTTAACCCAAAACCCTCTCATGTCCACACACACACATGTGAATGATGAAGTGCCTGGATCCCACTGACGTAGAAGGCTTCTTCATGCTGGATTTAAAAAGTCCTACTGCAGAATGACATTTGCATAATGCTTGCCAGACTGTTCCTTCTTCAAGTTTGGAAAGAGGTGGAAATCGGACGTGCCAAATCTGGTGACTACTGAGTTTGTTCAGAGTTCAATGCTACATTCATACATTGCGGGCTTGATATTCTCACACAGTTGAAACTTGATTTAGTTTCGATATGGATGAAATATTGCTGATCTGAACTCACTCACACAGTTGACTAAAGGGGCATTCACACGGTACAACAAGTTGTATAGCAAATTAGCATTATATTGGCAATTAATAGTCCTACTTTTCAGGAGGTAGTCCACCAGTAGGATTCTTTTGGAATTCCAAAAAACTGAAGCTATCACCCTGAAAAGTGATGGAACAGACTTTGCCTTCTTATTCTCTAGAGATGTTAGATGTTTCCACTGGAGTCATCCATGGTTGCAAATCGTTCAACAAAATCAGCTGGGCCTGCTTCCTAACGACCTAACTTTTCACCGGATATGAAGAACCTGGAGCATTTCTGATAAGGAGTCAGAAGCCTTAGAGCCCAGCGTGATGAAACCCTAATTTAATAAATTCCTCAGTATGCTCTCAACTCTTACATGAGAGATGCCTCCTGTAATGTCTTTGTCATGTGTGGTGCATCAATGATCATCTATAAACATATGTATACTCTGCAAAAAAAACAACAGCAAATGTAGTAAAATCGAAAATATCTGACATAGTGTTGCCAATATCCATACAAAATTGATGAATACCAAAACATGAATTGGTCATTTTTGCATGGGTTGGGGATTGATTTGTAAGGAAAGAAAGAGGTACTGAAGAAATTATGTTAAAAGATGGCAAAATCACAATAACACAACCATGTGAGAACCTGGGGCCGAAACACATTGACTTGACATGCATGTGCAACATCACTTGTTTGAGCTATAAAAACGTTGGGTTTGCATTTGCATGTCAATATAATCTTACAGCACGTGATAAGCAAAACCATGCCATGACTGATGGAAGCCCAATGCAACACCATAGGCCGACTGCAAACCAGAGAATCATCTTCAACTGTAGCCAAGTTTTTCCACGTAGCACCATATCAGACGCACGTACGTGTGACCTCTCCAGATCTGGTTGACCACATGTTACTACTAGAGCAAAGGACAGATTCATACAGATACGTCCATTATGTGAAAGAACCACCATGGCCACCTCTACAACTATGGAAATACCAGGATTGCCAAGGATATCAGCAAACAGTGAGAAATCGTTTACAATCTGATAGTATTTGCGCTTGATGACCACTTCAAGGTGTCATTTTGACGGGCCTACATCGTCAGCTGTGACGTCAATGGAGTCAAGGTCACAGAGTATGGCCACAACTTTTGATGGAGACAAGATAGGTTTGTGACAAGTTATGTTATATGTTTCGCCGTGCAGATGGTAGACGCCGTGTTTACAGGCATCGTGGGAAATGCTATGTATGAAACTGCATTCAGGAAGTGGTCAGATTTTGCTGGTGGTAGTGTGATGATGTGGACTGCCATCTCCTACACTGGTAGAACAGCCTTTTTCAGGAATCACAACATCCAGGTCCTGCCATGGCCCTTCAGGTCTAACATTTTATTTATGGGATGCACTTGATCAATGACTGCGAGTATATCAGCAACAACCACAGAACCTCCGACAGTTGGCACAAGCACTGCAGGCACAGTGGGGACTCTAATGATGACCTTCACCTTAAAAATCTACTTTTCCATATGGACTGTAAATCAATGACAATGATGTGTGCCAATTCTGAACAATCAATTACAATCTGTTGATTATTTATATGATATGTAAAATATACATCTTATCACTTTTGCATTTCTTTTTTTGCTACATTTTCCTTAATGGTGGCAGTTGAAGGTCGTCTCTCTTCCTCTCTTCCAACCTCTAACAGTGGCAAAGTTAGGAGTACCCCTAAAGTTGACACCATGTCCACCATGGAGATACTTGACCGCGTAGTAGCTAATTTTGTCCATTTTCATCAACAGAGAACACCTACTATCTATGCTGCCTGGTTCAAATGCAGCCTGCAAACTGTTAAAAGTGTAGTGTACATCCTTCGTAGTTATGCTGAACTTTTCAGCCACCCCTTACTCGACTTACTCAGACCTTCCAGGTCACCTTAACAATCAACAAAGATTTTTTATACACAAATTTTATTGCATGACAATTTTGATGTTTTGAAACAACTCAAGTATCTCCGACTGACATCAACAGTCCTTATTAACTCAAATATTTGTATTACAAAAGATCACTTCAAAAAAAAAAGAAGAAAAGTTCAATGGTATAAAATGCAAAAACTTCATTCACTACCAACTAAACATGTTAGAAAATTAATATTCAACATCTTCAATGCTTAATCTGGAGTTTCAATAACTTAAATCGTTCCATATATACAATGATGACAAGTGACATGAGATGAGAGGTGATTGGGAGTTTTACCCTTTACATTCAACACAGGCATACATTACACTGCTAGGCAGGACATTACAGCAAGTGAACTGCAGCATACAACACTATATCATCCTCGTGCAGGAGAACATGGAACATGATGAAGAATGACAGTAGACAGTTTTTTTTAGTAATGGTACAGCAATATCACACCACTGAATGGATTCCCATAATATACCAACGTGGGGAACCTGTTTTTTTGTGTGATAAGCAACTCCTTTACCGCCTGGCTACCTCACCACTCCAGGAAATGACTGATGATACATAACAGCCAGGTTTCTAAGGTGATTTGACTAAATCTTGAGCAAAATATGTTGTACTTCTTGACTTAAGTACCCGATTACTAGCATGTTCATGAAAAAAATTACTGTAGCAAAGTGTTACTTCAAGTTCAACTTCACAGCATACATATGCATTTGTTTGTAGACCTTAAGTAGTAAACTTGTAAGTGTTTCCAAATATTTACATACCATTTACAAAAAGCATTTATCAGTCGGTCGGATTTTCACACAAAGGTACAACATAACCTAAAAGAATGAGAAAAAGAATTTAACCAGGTAATTTTCAATTTTACACATGCTATGAATTATACCATCTCTAAATATGACGTACACAAAGCCATCAGCTGAAGGAGACATGAGTTCATTAGTAACTTATTACTACAAATATAAAAACTGACCTGCAAACAAAATGATGAAAAATGTGGTAACCAGTAACCAGGTTATGTAATCAAAACACCACCATTGACAAGAAACATTGTTTGATAGCTCAAGGAGAAGATATATCTATAAGACTAGGAATGTGGAACCTCACCATCAAGTTGGTGAGAGACTTGCTCACATCACAATATCATTGTACAGTTAAGTAGTGAATACCACCATCTGTACCACAGGCTTACACACCAGAAGATGTCACTTTGGTATGTACAGTACTGTACAGTCCATGTTGTACATGTTGTAGGAGTATCTGCATTGTTGGCAAATCCATTACAACTTTTCATGGCGATTGCTACTTCTATTGATGAATTGAGGCCCAGAAGGCCAGCCTGACTTCAGTATGTCCACTTAAATGTCAAAACAGGCTGGTAACTCCAAAAAGGCTGTTGGGTTTTTAAGGCAGCCTCTGGAACTAGAGTTGCTGGGTACGTTTGAACCGTTTCCATGCCAAAGAACATCCAGTCAAATTTCAGGACACTTGATTGAGCTGTGATGTGATACAGATCATGTGATGGACGATACATAATGCACAGAATTCAGTTAAGCCAGGCCTTGTGAGCTAGAAATGTTCTGTTATGACATGAGGATGAAGCTCAATCTCGGGTGGATCCGGAAGATGGTGTCATGATGCTTGGCTTGCTGGAGGCAGGGCGGATCAGTGGAGGGGGCTGTTGTAATATGGTCGTCTTCTGAGGAAGTAACCTGCAATTGAAACACTTGCATTAGATCAATAGAACAATCACATCCTGATTGAATGCAACAGTGGTACCTAATAGCTGATAAAACAAGGCAAAAAGTGCTCACTAATATCCCTGACCTCGACTCCCAACATATTTCTTAGTTCAAAACATGAAAAAAATCATATTTTTTAGAAAATACACATATCAAAATCAAACATTGCACTGCACCTCTCCTAATGGTATAGAAACTGTTCCCCCATATGGAAAAGAATCCATGTAGTAGTTTTCAAGTTATTGGTCACACAAATGTTAAAGTGAAAACATTCTATTATATAAGTTAAAAAAAAAGAAAGAAAAAAAATAGGAACTATTTTTTCAGAATTCCAAATAGTGAAATCAAACTACCTACTGCACCTCTACTGTTGGTATGTAAAGTGTTCACCAAATTTGAAAAGAATCTCTGCAGTAGTTTTCAAGTTATAGGCCTAGCACAAAAAATGAGAGGTCAGAATTTCTTGGTGCATGGATGATATTCCTTGGCATAACTACATACCGCGCCATTTTAGGTTGGAGGTTTAATAATCTCATAATATAAAGTCCGCCCTCTCCCAACCTGGGTGGGAATGAAAAATTCCTACTTTCTCTTGGGCATTGCTTGTTTGTTGTTGAACGCCACTCTCAGCAATATTTCAGTCATATGACGTGGCCTCTAAATAATCGAGTCTGTACCAGATAATCCAGTGACTGATATGAGCAATGATCCACACTGTCGTTGACACGCAATCAAACCAGGCAGACCACCCGAACCATTTAGTCGCCTCTTAAATTAACTTCAGCAAAGTGTCCATCTATATACTGGAGTTGTGAGTTTACCTGTGAGTCTGTGACTGGGGGGAGCTGCGGTTGTTGACTGCAGGAACTGCTGCGGGTGGGGGCTGCTTCAGGAGTGGGGGCGGGGCTCCAGATGAGGCGGTGTTGTTCACAGCTCCACCATTTGATTGGGTAGCTTCTACTGGCTTATCCACATCCATCTAAATAACACAAAACATTTACCTTGTTGAATCTTAACAACAAAGGATGGGTAAAATGTAGCCAGCTCTATCAGAAAGATCTAAATCTGCGCCCTCAGCCACAAGGCTAAAGTCTGAGTCTAGTAAGATCAGCTTATGCTTGTCCATATGCTAAAACAAAAGACTACTGAAAATAAAGCCAAAGACATGTCAGGGCTAGTCGAGTTGGCACAGATTAAAGTCCACCACATCAGACAAGCAGACTGGCCATCAGAAAAACTGCCCATCTTCAGCATCTTCATCTTGGCGAGATAATAAAGGCATGATCAGAATTTCTTATAAGTCCTGACCCAAGATTTTCATGGGAGACAAAAGTACCTTCTCTGTTTCTTTCTCCTCTTCTTCTATGTTGGTGGTGCTCTCCATGCCATGCTCAGCTTCATACTCTGCCAATACTTCATCCAGGTTGTAGCGCCTCCGGAAATTCACGAAGAAACTACGAACATGAGCTTCTAATTTGTTCCCAATTACTTCAGCTATTGCTTTGAAGTCCTTGCCATACTTCCGCACTCCTACAACAGAATTACAACAATGAATAGCACTGAAAATGACAGGCAAAACAGTCTTAGCACATAAAGGGAGACAACTTTATACAGGCAGATCCACAGTGGGGATGATAATCTGCAGATTTCAATGAACAGTGTGTGTGTCATCATTTATATCAAATTTCAAATTGTAGTGGTCAATGTACCGATGATATCACTAGTATCAGGATATGTTCCTTGAGTGGAAACCTCTCCAAGAAAGTCCAAGAACTATCCAATCCCTAATCAGCAAATGTGTTACCTATCATTGTTGTGTTGGTCATTCTGCACTGGAATACCCCATGTGAAAGAACTAATTGGACCCTAGTAAATGCCCTAGTTCTTGTTACAGTGTTATACTCACCTTGCACAGCAAGTAGTAATTCCTCATTTGTCCATCTTGCATTGATCTTCTGATTGAGCTGCAATACAAAACAGTTTTATTTGACTTGAAGAGGAAAGAAATTGAACACTTATTCAGCAGGATCATACTCTCCACATCCAAAACTCCACCCGTCTCTTTTTTCCAGCAAGGGACTGAATGTTGATTTTTGCCAGTCAGCAATATTCCAGCCTCAGGTGTCCAGCTAATGGCTGATTTTAACAGTAACAATCCACAGCATCAGGGCACCATGACCCAATCAGACAGGTTCCAGTTCCACAAAACAATCTTAGCGCTAATGTGATTGTAAGTCTGATACTTTAACATGTTTAACAAAGATTGCTCTGTGGAATGAGGCCCAGATCACACATTGTCAACACCTGATCCTCATTTTAATCTGTTCTTATGACAGGATAGCATTGGTCACTAGTGACTTTATCTTCCCTAGAGTCTCTGAGAGGCACTTTAATAAATTTAGGGGATTTGGGTCATTGCTGATGGTTATATTAGAATTAAGCAAAGTAGGTTACAAATCCTCACCTCTTGAGACTTGAACTTGTCTATTCCATCAGACAGTTTGTGCTTTTGTAAACTTAACATCTGTTTGTTGTTTTGTACCTGAAACAAGTTTTGATATAAGAAATCCTTTCTTATTGTACATTCTTTAATATCTGTGTAACAATCATTTTACAAAACTGGATTTCACACCATTTGCACATTGAATACTGATGCATATTAGGTTAAAATATAGAGCCACAAGGCTTGAGCTGTCTGATGACATTAAAATTAATGATGGTTCAACCCAATTTGGTACAAATATCTATGGTGAGGCAAGATAAATTGGAGACACTAAAGAGCATGGTAAAAGTGCAACTGCAAAGGTCATGTAGCTATTAAGTAGTCATACAAAACAAACCAATCTTTGAAGTGCAATAGGTCCCTTGACCTTGCCTCGATGGCTAAAGCCCAAAATGGATCAAATTGTTTTTTATCACCATGATCAAGACAAGACTATATGGCTGCCACAGATAATATATACCACTAAGTTGAGATAAACATGCTTAATCATGTTCGTACCAATATTTCCTAAAATTACCAACACCAAAAATAAGACTCATCATTTGTAATTATCCTCTACAATATCTCTTGAAAGTATAATTGCATATTTTAAAAGAAAGATTTGCCCACAACATGCCTTAGACAGAAATAGAAGAAACTGAAGGTATACTGACGATTGTTACCTGTCGTTTGAGTGCGACAAGCTCCGAATCTAGTGACTTGAGGACAGCCTCTGCCTGGGGTGCTGGTCCGTTGACCATCGACATCAGATCATCATACGTCAAATGCATCCCTCGGGGGGGCTTCCGCTTGTGTTTCAGTGGATGTGCCCGGCCTGTGTGTTGACTTTCATGACGTTTTAAACCTTGCGGCCTCATCACACCAGATCGTCTAGGAGAAATACATCAGTTATTTTGTGTCTTTGTTGAGAAGCATAGCATACAGATACTGAATAATACATTGCAATATGAACATTACAAAATAATCGTGGGTTTAACCCAGTCTACCTCTGCTAGAGAGTCTGAATACTTGAGTTGGGTCTAATGCTGCTTTAGGCAATTGAGTTCGTCAGTTTGGTTTAAACAATGCTTTTCAGTTTGGTTTAAACAACGCTTTGAATAGTTTCCTTTTATATCAAAACATGTTGGTTACATGTGGGAGGTAAGTCGGAAGTGATCCATGTCTTAAACATTTACCACTTTCGAGAAACACACATGGGTGTGGTGATGACGCATGAAGAATCATATCAAGTCAATGTAAGGGATTCAAACCCATTATCACAGGATCCTAGAATGCCTCAGGGAAGCAACCCTGCACATGGAAATGTGCCTTAGACAAGTGGTCCACCCATACCCCATAGGTGCAGGAGTTATCAGCCATTGCACACAATTTGCTGAATCAATTTGGTCCACTGTTTTTGTACAAGTATATACAATGGTATGACAAAATGTCAGAAGTGAGTCCTCTGTAGCAAGCCGTACCTCCAATACTGATAGCAAATGTTACACAGCGAGCCCTTGGGTGTCACGTGCAGCTGGGAGGTCTTCAGCTTGCAGTTCCCACAGTGATCCTTCTCCACTTTCTAAACAAAACAACACCCAAGTTCAATAATGGCAAATGAGTGAAAAGGCTTTCATGCCAGAGTACATACCATTACAGCTACATTATGTCAGTCTGAAAGGTAATTGGGCCTATCCACACGGTTTAACAGTTGATTCAGACTTTCATTCCAGATGTCTATACTACTGTCTGGCATGACAGATTATAGTCACATAAAAGAACTGGGTGGTCCTTAACTTCTTTTGAGTAGCATATTACAAACCCAAAACAACCCTTTTTGATACCAATCGCCATTTAAATCTCCTTTAGGCCAAGTATGAAGTTATCTGGACCTACTCTACACTTTTTAAACCAAGACATATTTTGGTAGTGGAGGACATAAATGCGAGCTCATCTCTAAATGCATATACAAATTTTCTTAAATTCTTTCACTAGGAAAGCTGGAAGTACCTACCCCGTTCTCCTTGTTATCTGTCTCGCTGTCACTCTTACTGCCTTCATCAGATGCATCACTGGAAGAAGAAATCATTATCATAAATATCATAAATGTAACAGAGGTATAGGGAGCACTGACAGTACATCACACAAAGTGTCTTGATAGACAGATAATAATTCATGGTAAAAGTTCCATTACAGAAAACAGAGAGCCTTTTTTTCGATTTTTAATGCATATTTATTAACAATGGTCTATTCACAGTATTCAAGTTCTAAGTGCCAAATGATTTTGAGTGTTTCTTAGGCCTTGTAATAGCAGTTACGGACTTTAGCCACTAGTCCAAAGCCCATGTCCAGTAACATTCTGTTCAGACTGGTAACCTCAGCCAATAATTGTCCACATAATAACAATAAAATCTTCTGAAAATGATGCTAATAGCTTTGTTATGTTGGTAGTCTCAAATGTTTATGGCACAGACTGTAATTATACTAATAGTAATAATGGTACAGTACGCACCTGTCCCCATCCCTCTGACTGGCTAGCTTCTTTGCCTGGCGATCCATCAGACTGGTCCGTGACCGTGTCTTCTTCCATGAGTAATAATATTTCACCAGACTGGCTATAGACTTGTCAGGTAGCTGTAACAGAGCATCTTCTATATACAACACTTCTCCATGCACATACAACACTTTGTATACAGCACTTCTATATATACAACACTCCTCAATACACATACACCACTTTGTATACAGCACTTCTATATATACAACACTCCTCAATACACATACACCACTTTGTATACAGCACTTCTATATATACAACACTCCTCAATACACATACACCACTTTGTATACAGCACTTCTATATATACAACACTCCTCAATACACATACACCACTTTGTATACAGCACTTCTATATATACAACACTCCTCAATACACATACACCACTTTGTATACAGCACTTCTACATATACAACACTCCTCAATACACATACACCACTTTGTATACAGCACTTCTATATATACAACACTCCTCAATACACATACACCACTTTGTATACAGCACTTTAGAGCTGAGACAGTCCAAATTTACTCCCCGGGTACCTGACCCCCTATTACCCGACCGTACCCGGGTACCCACTGTAGGTCTCAAGAGCTGGGTACAAAATGTCCAGTTGGGAATTGTTTTAGCGCAGCCCTGGCAAAAACTCTTCAGATACATGTATCCAATGATCAGATCAAGCGTACACTGTAGTAGACTAAGCCTTATCTTTACTCAAAAGGAATGTGTGCACCGTCATAAAGAAATGAGAACATAAGTGACTTGAAGCATAAGCACTGAGCTATAGTAATGTGTTGTCATTAAACTATACTTTCGTGACCAAACACGGGTTCTGGGTGTAGTGTGGATACCCAGGTCCTAATCAGGACCCACCCAACCCAAGTACCGAAATTACCCATCCCAGCCCTACAGCTCTTCTATACAACACTACTTTAAAAAAAAACCTTCCACTACCAAGGGGCAGAAGGCTCCCAGCCCCTATGGAAGTTAAGTAGAAGATCACCTATTTTGATCACAAGGTGTACTTATTCTCAGTCCCTGTGGTGATTGCAAGTTAGAATTGGTCCCCAGCAACCCGTGATGGTGTGTCATTGTACCCTAATCCCAAGGATGGTTGCTTGCAATATCGATTGGCTAGACCAGACTTGATTATTTACATATTCCTCTTCTACAGGTGAGGTGAGGTGAAATTCTGTTTAACGTCGCGTCCAAGATTATTGCACTTATATAGCGACGTGCATGCACGTGTGTGTGTGTGGCTGCTTGTACTAGACCGGACTGATGCCTATTTATAGTGCTAGCTCACTGAGATACCATGCCGCAGTTTAACATGAATACCCCTCAGACACAGTATACTGACTCCGAGCCGACCAGTCCTTGCTTTAACCCTTGCCCCTCTTCTACAGTCCCAAGTGCATTTCCAACATGGTGTGTCTTCTGCCTATTCTGGTAAAATATCTTTCAGATAATACTTTCTGCTTGAACATACTAAAATATTCAAATACTTTCAAAAGTTTAGTGTGGACTTACCATTTGCCTTATCCGATGAAAACTTTTCCCATGGAAACTAAATGCTTGCTCAAAAAGTACTTTGTCTTCTACTGTCCATTCATCAGGAAAGGGAGTGAAGTTTGCCAGATCGGACAGAGCTCTCTCAACATTGTGTTTGTGCCAGAACAACATGCCTAGGGCCTGTAACAACAAAAACATCTCATTTAAACAAACCATACTTACATTAGCTGTCTCCTATATGGTACCGAAAGACAGAGGATCATAATTCAAGGGCATCAAGGAACAGATCAGCAGATCCTGACATCTTACATGTCACAGATGTTATGACCCAGATTTCCATGTGGTCCACCTCATACCTCTGCCACAGGACAGATTTGATGAATCGTCACAGAGTCCACTTAACAAATTATAAATGTTTTGCATGTTTCATTTTCAAAGAGTCTACGCATTGAGATAAAAATGAATGAAACAAGTAAAATTTCATTGAGAAAACATACTAAAATGTGAAAAATTATTTCCATTTGAGTATTTATCCTTTGTTTACATTGGTTGTATGGCTCAATGTGCTGAAATCAAAGCCCAGTGGAGAGCTAGCGAAACGGTCACCTTGATGTGTAAAGATATATTGACATGCACATCACTGTTGCTGTTGTAGTAAGATATTAATACAATTATGCAAAACAATATGTAAAGTGCAACGAAAGGCTAGCGTTAGGCCAGTCTGTTCTGATTTCATAATAAGCATGTTTGTTTACAAACAAGAGTCGTCTGGTTATGTGATATGTAAATTAGCTTGTGGCAGTGATGTAATGCTGAGTCATCACTGCTTCTGAGTGTGGTGTTTTAAGCTGTCAAAGAGCACTTGGATCATATATGTCCAAACTATAACCATAGTTGAAACTATTTGCAATAAACAAAACTTGAGCAAATGTTTCATGAACATATTGAATGTAAAATAGGCTCTTCTCATTAACCATTACGTTATTTACTCTAATCAGGGATCATAGCTTTGTACCTTTCAGACTAAAATATGAGCTGACTTTAAACAATGTTAAAGTTATAGAAATTAATGTACTGAGGTCATGAATAAGTAATATCTTATTTCCTTTAATTTCACGTTAATTTATTATTAGAATAGAACATGAATCAGAACACTTTCTAGTGTGTGAGTGAGTTGGGTTTAACGCCGCTTTTAACAGTATTCCAGTTATATCACAGCGTGTCAGCTTAATGTGGGAGGAAAGCCCGAAGTGATGCAGGTCTCAGACGTTTACCACTTCGGTGAAACCCACGAGCACGGGTAGGGTGCTGACAAACCTAGAAACATAATTGGGGCGAACCGGGATTCGAACCCACAATCATAAGTGTCTGGCGTGCCCAAGGGACGCAACTCTGCACAGCAAATCACGGCGCCTTAGACGACTGGGCCACCCGTGCCCCCAGAACACTTTCTAACCTGAATTATCAAATTGACAGCGTAATTCAGTAAGAGCCTAAGTTAAACACTGAATCATGGAAATCATGGTATGAAAGTATTGGGCCCAGTTCCACAAACTGATTGTAGTGCAACGACTGACGTAGGTCTATGTTAAAGTATAGATTTATGATCACCAATATGATCACTTTGTGGAACGAGGCCCTGGGAAAGTAAGCACTCACCTGTTCTGTGTTGTAGCCATGCTTCTCTTTGGCAATGTTGATGTATTCATCAACTGGAACACAACATCATCATGGTCATTGATAGTGAGTGAGTGAGTGAGTGAGTTTGATTTTACTCCGCCTTTAGCAATATTCCAGCAACATCACGGCTGGGGGCACAAGAAATGGGCTTCACACATTGTACCCATGTCGGGAATCGAACCCGGGTCTTCGGCGTGACGAGTGAACGCTTTAACCACTAGGCTACCTGACTGCCCCTGGTCATTGATAGATCATCCCAACACAAACCTATATAACAACTCCTGTTAGCTCTAAGGCCGCCCACAAGTTGAACCTTAACTGCTGAGAGGGTATTTTAATTCAATTTGGACGGAATGTCGGTTGACATGGTTGAGGTGAAATGGGTTTAACATCACATTCAAGATCATTGCACTGTTATTGATTATTTCTGGCAGCTTCTACTATTGTTGACTAATGCCGGTTTTATAGTGCTAGTCCAATACAATACCATGCTGCAGTTTCCCATCCAACACCCCACACAGACACAGTTTGCCAACTCCGTGCCAAACAGTCCTTGTTTTATCCCCTCCATGCCAAGCATGAGGAAGGGTAATAACAAAGGGAGATAAGTCTAATTACATCACTAGGGAGTGTAATGTCCATTGTTTTTGTTTGTTTGTAACTACCCTGTATGTGAACAGGCCAGGGGAGGATGAAATTGACTCATGTGTCTTGGTTCAAGATTTCGCATTATTGTGGAAAGTGTATCTTGTTCGTCGTCAACGATGTGGATTTAGGTCACATACGGTATAAAAAATGAACCTGTTCTAAATGAAAACAAACACAAATCAAGATGTGACCACACCTTGAGTCTACAACTTCTATGAATCCATAAGCATGACAAAGAAATTCAGGAACAAACAAAAAAGAAAGTTTCCAACATAAAACTTACCTTTAATTTCAGGCAAGTCTCCAGTAGGGGCCCACACCAACATGGCTTCCACTCTAGACTCTGTTCGCATCTCTGCAATAATACAGTTGATAATATTCACCCAAACCATTTTCCACGATAGAATAAAATCCTGTACAGTTACTAATGAATCCGCCTGGATAAACAAATTTCTTGATCAACAAGAGTCACAAGGAGATGACATATCCATCTGTTCTGGTGCAATTCAGAAATGGAGTTATACCCTTTTTGGTTCATTTCCATTTGATACCTTCAGTTCAGTGAAGAATAAAATAATGCTGTTCAAAATTTCTCAATATCCTAAATCATAAAAAAAGCACCAGTTCACCACTAAAGTGATCTGTACAACAAATTTCATCAAGAAATATTCAATGGTTTTGGAAACGGGAAACGGACAGTGGACGGATGGACATGCTGATCACTATATGCCCCCATTTTTAAAACCTGAAGGGATAACAAATGAAAGTGACGAAGTGACATCCTTTATGGGTGTGTGAGTAGGTGTGCGTGTGAGTGAGTGAGTGTGTGTGTGTGAATGTGTACGTATAAATGGACAAGTCAAACCATAATCAACCGCAAAGTTGTTGTTTTTTCTTTGGCCTAACAAGGTTTCACTGTATTCAAAAGTAATTGAGATTTCAGGCATAATTAAGTAAATAAATCAAAAAGAGCTTAACACTGATGACAGCAATATGGCAGCAGTCTGCAAACTGAAATCTGACAAATCTGGAAATATCAATTTAGGTATCAGGCTACTTCCAGGACCCAACTGTGTCTACTCCAGTGCTATCCTTCCACAGGAGCAGGTGTTGTTCAACAATATGAATGAATCACTTGTATTTTGCAAAAATCACGTTTTCAAAGTGATATTTTCGTCACATCATGCAAGATGATCAAAACTGTCCAACTGTTAGACCAATAAAATGATTGCACAAGGCAACCATCAGAAAGTCTGATTTATCTCAACCGTATCACCTTTCTCCCGGATCTATTGTCTGGCACTTTGAGAAAGGATTGAACCTGGCGTTATGCTTAGCTCAACACAAACGATAATGGAAATGATTTATTATGTTTGCAATTATAATAGACAGCCAATTGCATGTGCACCTAAACTCAAGAAGCACTGGACATAATTCTAGCACTACATTCACATCATTCTTATGCCAAACAATTCCCATGGTGGTCATTTGTGGGGCTTCAGTTAAAACATAATTATATACAGCTGGCAACCAAGCATGCATGATGAAACAACAGTTTGACAAAAGTGAAAACAACCCTAGATCCGGTAATTGTTCAATTTCTGTTACACCTACTAAAATAAATTTTATCATCTCTACCAAAGAAACCACTTTCTACATGTTCTAAACAGTGTATTATTTCAACAGCTGTTAACCTTTGACAGTAGCTGGTAAAAATAATTTGAAATCTATAGAGAATTTGCCAGGCCTTCAAGTTTGTTTCTTTGACTAGAAACCAGCTGTCTCCTACTAATTCTTTTGTTTAAGCCATTGCAAGATTCAAGTTGAAAAATCAATTTATACAAAGCCAGTGCATATTAATCCAACAATCTTGAAATGAATGTTGATGTCTACCATGTCTAAAAGGTATTTGTATTAAATTAATTTTGGAAAGTTTGACATTTGTTGGAGTCTCTTTTCCAGATTAAAATATATTTAATTATATCTAATAGGGTTCTTTGACAATAGACAAGATAGGAGAACTTCTTCTTTTAATATCCTGCTGCTACATTCATTTTAAACATTGTCAACATCTTCTTTCCATGGTTAACGAGTCAGTTTGGGACATAACCCACTAGTCCAAAGTATTCAGTGAGTACTAGGGCTGCAACAAATACACTATGAGGTGAATACAATTGGTATCATGAATATAGGATAATGAATACGAATATTACATCACGAATACAATAACCAGTCAGCAGTTGATTTATTATTTGTTATATTCAGGGAAAAAATAACAACATAAATTTGTTTCTTGATTATTAATATATTTTATAGTTATATATTGACCTTATCCAGCTACCAGCTACTTGAATCTTCTCAAATGTGACAATGACCAGTGACCACAATCCTGTTGAATCAAATATTATAAGAGTGTTGTCTTTGAAGAAATCTATGCATATAATATGTTCTTATGGATATTTTTAGGTACAGGATATGTAAATGCACATGAATGCATATACATAAATATTTGATTCTAGTGGTTACGAATAAAGAATTCAATTCATGAATGGATACGGTTCGATTCACTGAATACACGAGAGAATCGTAACAGCCCTAGTGAATACCCATCCTGCATTTCTACATGCAGGGTTTTGAGTGAGTGAGTGAGTGAGGTTTTACGCCGCTTTTAGCAATATTCCAGCAATATCACGGCGGGGGACACCAGAAATGGGCAGGGTTTTGCCTTGACTTTTAACTTTAAGGGTCCTTGCAGGCAACATGAGGGTCCTGTGATGTAATGAATTTGTGTAGTGTACTGTATGTTTTGATAATTACTTTACAGTGAGTGAGTGAGTTGGGTTTAACGCCGCTTTTAACATTATTCCAGTTACATCGCAGCGTGTCAGCTTAATGTGGGAGGAAAGCCTGAAGTGATGCAGGTCTCAGACGTTTACCACTTCGGTGAAACCCACGAGCACGGGTAAGGTGCTGACAAACCTAGAAACATAATCGGGGCGAACTGGGATTCGAACCCACAATCATAGGTTTCTGGCATGCCCAAGGAACGCCACTGCAGAGCGAATCGCGGCGCCTTAGACGACTGGGCCACCCGTGCCCCCTAATTACTTTACAGCCTGGAATGAATCAATGATCATGCTCAAATGACAGACGCCCATAACTGCTCTTGATGCTTTGTATGTACAATGAATATTATTGTGCGTCCCTCGGGAGTCCAATCTCAACATTTGTGCATATTGGACCCACATTTGTGCCTCACTTTAACCCTGTACATGTATGTTTATAAATTATAAGTTAAGATTAATAAGAAATATACAATTAAATATATGAGGAGGGGGGTTGTAGATGTTACAATAAAACACTGTAGGGAGAATAAACCATTTGGGCAGTGCCTGTCATGATTTATATTCCCTGTAGTGTTCTACTGTACAATAAACAACAACCAGTCATTTACTTCTTATATAGGATATCAACATTAATTACAGCTTCTGAAAGGATGTTAATAAACTTTACAATCTTTAAAAACATATGCCCCTATCTAAATAATGACACCCTGAATACAATCCAATCTCGGCAATTTGGTATTTCCTGAATACTCACACAAACATCAAAACAATGAAAAATGAGGATATATCATTGATTCTCAAACGTACTCATTACCCTCCCAAAAATAGCCTTCAATTTACGTCATCGGGTTGTGAGCATATGTTCGAATCTCCAGAAATGAAGTCATGATAGAACGATGTTTTATCGAGAAATAAACCACATATCATTCTTCATTATTCTTTGCGATTTATTGCATAGCTATCTGCTATACATAAATATAGCACTGGTTTGTTTTTAGTTTCTCTATTAGTTATGAGACAGAGAAAAACTGAAGGAAAAGAACCAATTTAGCTGTGTTAAGACTGCTGATGATAAATCAATGTATTTACTGTATCATTATTGCTGGAAACCATCCTTTAACAAGGCCTAGTGGTGCCTGGTGCAAGGAGAGTGTCTATCATATTTACATGTTACATGTGATCTACACTTGGCTTACGGCTTGATGTTGTGCCTAGGGTCTTCTATGATCATGACCCATCGACACACTACACTAGGTAAACATATGAATATATGTTTCTGGTTACCATACTGATCCTACTCTGGAACCACTGACCTGAACCTTTTTTCTTGAGTTACAACATATTTTTTTATCACATCCAGGTACTGTTTTTTATTTAATGCCCCTGGCACACATATTTTGTGCTTCACTATAAGAAAAAATGTAAAATAAAACAAACATGATAAAGACCTACCGGTAGCTACCCAAAGTATGGGTTTTAACCTAATATTCTTAACACTGATCAACCTTAGAAATTTTAGTTTTTTCCAGGACTAGTGAGAAGCTTGTCACTAGTCCCCAGAGTTCATAGCTAGTCCTGCTTGAACAAAACCAAAATGTTCACTATGTTTACGTTTTCTGTCAGTCATATTCAGTTCAATTTGTAGCAAACTTGAAGCATTGGAACTAGTTCAGAATTATAGCCCTAGACCTCAGTGAGGACTACCATCTTTGGATTTTTACTGGTCCTCTGTACAATTAAGTAGTCTCGGGCTAGCGGACCAGCAGAAATACCAAAGGCTGCCAATACAGGTACTGCTGCACTTCAAATATAGCAGAGGGTAGCACAAAAACAATGCTGTGAGTTCATGAGCACAAGCCCTTTAGAAGGTCATAAGGTCATAATAAGTAACCAATTTTGAAGTCAAGGCTTCTTCACAAATCGACAGGCAACTTATCACCTATCTACTTGGAAGAATACTGGGCTTTGCTTTTAAGCTGCTGTCAAAAGTCAATGTCCATGCATTCTTACAGTTCAGAAAAGTACTGATCACTGAACCCATTGTATCACGATTCATGAATGATTGCCATTGATCTTCCGTGTATGGCGATCATGTCACATCCATAAAACCAGCAGTCACCTACCCACGAGGTTGTTATCAAGATCCATACACTTTCAGCTGTTTTGACCTCCTGTTCCATCATTCTGTTAACATGAGGTTTACCAATTCTACTCTTGAAATATTTGTGGCAGAAAATGGTTTTCATGATTAAATTGTAAAAAACCACCAACCTCATCGAAAAGTCTACACACATAGGCTGTATCATATAAGCAGGGTTAGACATGGCCACTCCTCCGTTAGTCCAAGACTAGTAAAATAACATAGTTGTGTTGTCCCAAAACCTAGGTAAATCATTGGTCCAAAATGAGCAGCGGACTAGTTAGATTTGACCAATGAGAAGTGATTCTGTAACAGTACCATTTTCGATGTACCCAGTACCAAAAGGTAACAAATTGGATATTAAATGCTACCAAGGACTTAAAATGTCTAACGCAAACGTACATATTGTGACTCATTTTGACATACAACATATACATCCAAATAGAACAAAACATCATGCCATTTCTACAACTTCAATTCTTCTGGACCATAATACATAAAAGGTGTTATTAATTAATATACATTCATCAAAATATTGATATAAGATAGTTTGTTTGTTGCTTAATGCCACTCTAAGTAATATTGTGATGGCAGCCTGAAAATAACCGAGTCTGGAACAGACAATCCAGTGATTCTTATTGTGAACAACGATTTAAGTCCTCGGGGTACAAAGACACACTTTCAACCAAGTCCCCAAGCCTTACCACCTAATCGATTTGGTTGCCTCTTACAACCAGAATAGGTGACAGGGGACCTATTCTAACCTGGAATCCCCATGAGATGATTGACTCCAAAATCACATATTGATGTAATATAATATAATATAATATATTGTATTAGAGGTTTGTAATAATGAATGATAATGCTAATCCTAAACGTATTAAAATAATAAAATTGCCCATCAGTCTTCAAAATCTTTCATCTGAAAACTTCAAGAGAGTGTATGCCACATTCTAGAATGAACAATGCACAATGCATCAATGTAAGCATCTTTTCATTTTTATTTTTCTTGAGACTATTTTTCTTTTATTCGTACTGTATGAGATGTCCCTTGCAAACCCATGTTACGCATCAGCAACTTTGAAAGTATTACATATCACTATACCCATGAAGATACGGGTTAAATAGGTTCTCAGCAACACATGCTTGTCTTAAGAGGCGACTAACAGGATCAGGTGGCCAGACTCGCTGACTTAGTTGATGCATGTCATTGTACCCCAATTGCATAGGTCGATGCTCATGATGTCAATCACTGGATTGTCTGGTCCTGACTCGATTAATTAAAGACTACCATCACATAGCTGGAATATTGCTGAGTGTGGCGTTAAACAGCAAAAAATACATATCACTTCTTTCCACAGTGAAAACATAGACATGTACGCTATCACAAGCATATTTTGTATAGTTTCTATTCCTGAAAATTAATATATCTATACCTGAATATATGAGGTAATGTGTTTGCTGTAGAGGAGTAACAATAGGGGAATGCAAAGTATATAGCGCAAGGATTTTTCAGGAGACAAAGAGCATTCAGACATTCATCTGATGTATCATATGTATTGCAATACAGGGGTTGTAAATAGATGTACTGTATGGTAGGCCTGACATCGGGATACATTACTTTACGCCACAAAACGGAACCAATCTGAACCATGTACCATGACACATTTGTTGCCATATAAACAGTGTTTCGCAGGGATAGACACAGCCACTAGCCTGTTTACTCCAAGACCAGTAACACTCTTGACAGACTAGTTAGCCAGAATACTTTGAGTGAGTCCCTTATATTCTCACTGAAAAAGTATACATGGTATAGACTATGTTCAAACTTAATGGATGGAGAGGCTTGGGTTAAGATTTTGAGCTATAATATGTTCATCTAGGTCACCCATAAAAAATTCTAATTACTAGTAAAGCCAGAGTATGCAAAAGTACCATTTCATACCCAATTAACAGTTTTCAGGATATAAAAATATCCACAGTACAAGGTACATCTGTGCAAACAGAACAATTCTATCCACAATAATTCGTAACTAAAAATTATTGCTGTATTTCCTATTTCACATGGACTAAACTATTTGAAGCCATTATTAATATTGATAGTTTCATAAAGTAACTTCAAATGATTATTAATATTAAACAGCTGTCATGATTACAATGATTACCAGTTTCAACATATTTTAACAGATTAGCAACTCTTATTAAACCATAATTACAAATTATTATGACACCTTTGACTTTTCAGATCAGACTTTTAAATTCAGATCATAGGCACTCAGTGTTAAAAAATAAACATGAACGTCATAACTCCAATGCTTAAAATTAAAGATTCAGCATGATATTCTGACATATCTATATTACAGTCATTGCATCGCAAAGTTCAACTTGATAAAACAGTGTCAAGATGGCTCAAACTCACCATACATGCCATAATATTCATCACAAGACATGTGCATCATTACCCTTATATGCATGTTTCAGTGACACATATAGTTACCACTATATTATGGCCTAGATCTACCTCAGGTCAATGTTTCAAGCCTTTTATATTATGAAACCAGGTCAACATGGGCTCAAACTCAGTACCACTCATTGCAAAACATCTAAATACCTTACCAATGTCATGAATATTTATGTCCGCAATACGTATGTTATTTATCATGATTGCCTACCTCAGGTTAAGGTTGCAACAACAGCCCCCCACCCCCCATTAAGGTCCTCAGAAAAAAAAGATTAAAACTGATCTGAACATTTGATCACATAGGCTTAGATCTACATGTTTGTAGATCAATGTAGGCTAGATCTAGGCCCTTGGACTTAACTGTTAGCCTACTGATATTCTACTCTACCTCCACACAATGACTGTCTGATGTTTTAAGCAGCATAAAAAAATAATTACTTAATTGTACCAGGTACAGCTTTAATTATGGAATCAAACAATCGTTCATTTCCAATGGGAATCTCCTGTTTAGAATATGGATCGTATTACTTCTTTGATTACAACTTCCCTAAAATGTGTAATTAGGTCAAATGGGCTTACCTGGACACATATCCGGCACAACAGCTTGGTATTCCTCTCCAATCCGCATTCCATTTTCTGAAAACAATAGATCACATTGAAATGGATAGTTTGACAGCATGTCAAGTTCCGTTGCAAAAATAAATTAAGAACATAATGCTCTGGGTCAACGTCAAAGGAACTTACCATGGTCAGAATCGTCTCCGCTGCTATCGTCAGAATGAGGGCTTGCACCTCGCGATCGACGACCATTGCGAAAATCCTCCGAATTTCTATTCGCCATCACCATCTCTATATTTTGGAGAGCTTTAGAAGCTTTTCTCCGGGTTCGGAGATGTATTCGTTCAATTTTGACGACTTTACACACGCAAACGTTTGCACTTAACAATATAGACACCTTTCGTCCATGCAACACAGGGTTGGAGTGCTGGATAATGTAGTTCCTAGGTGAAAAAAGTGCACAAAGTAAACATAAGCATAAATAAGACTTCAAATATGTAAATAATTAATATGCAACATATTTGAAAGCCTAGTGAATGCCCTTAACCCGAAACGAAACATGTATAACATGTTTGAACGGAAACACTGCGCAATGATACATGTCAAGTTTGCTCTTCCGTACTATTCTTCCAAAGGCGATACATCGAAATCGGGTTTGTTTATTGCCCGTTGCAAGGAAAATTCAGTGAGCATATTTCGTTAACAATCACACGATATGACCGATTATATTGTTTCTAAATACTTGAAAATAGGATATTATGGCGAATCTGGCCAAGTACCGAGCCAGGGTTTCACACAAGAGGACAATAAAGTATATGAGAATGACATGGGCTTCCATACTTTTTGCCAAGAGCCTGTTATGTGGACCAATATTTCTCTTTAGCACCATGTTAAGATGTATTCGACACACAGATTACGATAAAAGAAGGAAATGTATTACCCCTCGTCTCTGTAGACCAATATATATTGTATGTGTTATGTTTGACATATGTCTTTGTTTGGAAGCACGTTATTTTATGTCCCCAACAAGTCACCATACGCGATTCCTTCAGAGTCTCCTCCCGGAAGAGACAATATTTTTTTCCGCAATACTGGATTGTAAAATCGATTTAATACTTTGAAAACAATCATATGTGTAAAGCATGATTCCTGGCCATGGTCATTTTTTTACATCAATATCACACGATGGCGAGGCAGTGCGTCTTTAACACCTCGATTTCGAAGGCCTATATCTGTACCAATAGTGCAAACAGACCTTTATCGATTCGAATACTGACTGAATTTACATATATGTCAAATGATGAATCTTGTGTTTCAATTTTGGAACAGTCAACATCATTTTAGAGTAGGTTACATGACCACGAACATCTGCGTGTTGCATGGCTTCCTAGCTGGGCCACTCCTAGACAATACGACAGACCCTTAGTAAACAGAGCCTCCCCCCAGGCTGTGCATCGGAAAGCTTATTGTTATATTGGTGGAAAGTGATTGTGTTTTAATGTGCGCCCATCTTATGAGTTGACCACTGACAGCATTTTGTGTAACGAGAGTGATGTATTCGTCGATCGCCATTTAAAAGTCTGCCGAGTGTCACGAACAAAAATATATAATTCCCTTTGATCATTGTATTTGTATGACCCCTTTCAGATCATCAATTAAACTTAAACGGAAATTTATCGCTTGTGATGGGAATATGACGTTGTGCTAAGGGATGTACTAGCTATAGCTATAGAGGAACGCCATTGCTCAGAATGACGTTGACCTTGTGACGTTATGTGGATCAGTTGAAATCGGGACGAATCTGACGATGTACATGGTAATACGATTGAAATTATGTTTTATAAACGTCAGTCGCCATTACGGAAGAAGGTGATTGGCGTTGTGGAGTTACAAACTGATCAGGCAATTGAAACCACGTCGTTACATACTGAAACAGACCCGTGAACGTCCGTAAATTGATCTTCTGCATCCCACCCATATGCTTGTCGTAAGAGACGACTAGCGTTTTGTTGTTGTTGTTTTTGTTGTTGTTGTTTAATGCTGCACTCAGCAATATTCCAGGTATATGACACGGTTTGTAACTAATCGAGTCTGGACAAGACAATCCAGTGATTGTCATCACGAGCATCGATCCACGGAATTGGGATACGATGACAAGCACCAAACAAGTCAGCGAGCCTGACCACCCGATCCCGTTAATCGTAGAGCATTGTCGCCTCTTACGGCAAAAATGCATGGGTTTTCTGCAGACCTATTCTAACCCGGATCTTCACGGGTTGACGAGAATGGTTGATGCGGGTCATCGAATCCCAAATGCTTTGGTCGATGCTCATGATGTCAATCACTCCTTTGTCTGGTCCAGATTCTATTATGTACAGACCACCTTCATATACGTGGAACATTGCTGAGTGCGGCGTTAAACCGCGTTAAACCGCGTCAGCTACGTAGTGGCGTTGAACGAACGAACGAACGAATGAATGAATGAATGAATGATCAGGCTTTTGGAACCGTGACGGTATGCACCTGGCAATTTAGAACGACCTGATATTTCATTTACGCCAGACGTTGTGAGTAGGCGAATAAGTATGGTGTTCTGCCCCTTTTAGCAATTATGAAGCCCCTATATGCACAGTTGGGAGACATATAGAATTGAGTTTAAATAAATCCCCCCTGTGGAGAATTGAACTCGGGTTGTTGGTGTGACGAGTCAACGCTTTTTAATCGCTGCAGGCTAGCCAACCATCCCTCATGGCGGCTATGGCCTTACACTAACCCGACATTTGAATCTGTTTCCGTTACCCATGACAAAACTATGGAAGAGAAATCTAATATACATAAACATGTGTATGTATACGCCAAGCATCATCGATGTATGGATGATACTGTCATCAACGCTGTAGCAGTACACAGTGCATGCATACTCTTAGAACTGGTATGTCATTCAGACCCTGAAACAAATATATCCATTATAGCCAATGCAAGTCTGACGCAACATTTACTGTAATGGTACAGTCCCAAATGAAGCAAGTCTAGATCTGTCAATCTCACCGGGGCTCCTTTTCAATTTAAATGTAGTTGTATGTTTCTATCCAAAATATACAATTTCAGAGACTAAGCGTTAGTCTAATAATTACATTAATGCCTAACGATACCGTAAAGTTTGGATTTAAGACCGGATGTTTATTATTTTCTGCTCTGTCTGAGACACGACATTTTCCTAAGCATTCCAATACTAATCAATGTGCGCATGACCAAAACTAACAGTACTCATCTGTCTAATGCAAAATCTACAAATATCGGAGCAAATTTGATTCCGCATTTGTTAAACGTGGGCGATATTTTTTTCAAGTATACTTATTCCGGCGTTTGTTGAAGCATGGTACGTGCAATTAATCAGTGATGAATTTCACCAAAGTTAACGCATGGTGTATCGTTATCAGATTCCCACTGACCAGCAACTGCCACATTTGGAGTAAGTTTCAAAGATAAAGCGGCATGATCAAAGTAACATAATTCATAATTTACGACATTGTGTTTATTACGTGAAACGTCTTTAATCCCCCTCCACAACACCCATTCATTATATCCTCTCATGTCGGTCAATCCAATCAATGAACGCTTCATGATGCGGTCATTGAACTTCATACAATATGAGGGCACGAATGGTAAACCAGACGTCTGAGATCTACATCACTTCGGGTTTCCTCCCCCAGTAAGCTGACAGGTTCTTATATAACTGGAGTAATGTTAAAAGCGGCGTTAAAACCAACTCACAGACATCATACATATTTGTTTATAATTAAATTAAATACGTTTCAAACTGGATGTATATAGCAATTATTTACAAGGCGACTTCCAAAACTGTCGAAAGACGGTGAAATATATTGTACATTTGCAAAGGTTCGATATCATATTATGTATTTTAATTTAGAATAAACATGCATCTGCCAGGTTTGTATTCAAGGCTGAACTAGCGACATGGGCCGCGAATATATACTGTGAGATCAATCTCAGGACCTCCTAATGTATTATTTACTTACAAGGTATAACACCTCCCCAGGTACGCGTTACCTATATGGCCTCAAGCCGTGCACGGTTGTGTTGTATAAACCTTGTCCAGTCTTTACAGACGCGAACTCTACACATTCAGTGACAGTATTGTGAGCCTGCATAGTCCTGGCTCCAGTCGCTAACAGGACTGCAGTGTCAACACGAGATCGATGCTGCGTCCATAAGTGACCCATATATGACCATACACAAGCGTGTATATATACTGTGCACGGAGTTGGTCATGCATGCAATGTAGATAGCGACAGCGTACCAGAGGTTGATCCCCGGTACACTGTCAATATATATTGCATGTATTAATATAAATGTGTGCGTGCGGGTGTTTGAGTGAGTGCGTACTGTAAATCACTAAATTAATGCGTCACCAAATTAATGCGCATGTGAACGCCGCCCTAAAATGCATCGTGACATAAATGTGTATAGCCATATATACCTTTGCGCTGTAAAAACGAATCAATACACGATAACTCCAAGACTGACATTGACAATTCCATATAAAGTATTGGGTGATGGCAGTTCAAGTGAAGAGTATCATTCATTTGGTATCTTCGTAAATTTAACTTTAACTGTTTGACATGTGATCTAACTTTCATAAAATCAAAACAGGAAAAACAGGGAAATCTTTGAAGAAAATCAGCCCAATTCTTTGAAGGTAAATGAGCTGTGTCGTGTATTCAACACGACTTCTGTATAGTGGTGAACAATTCTACTCGTCCCTGAATATGCACCCATGTGTGTGTGTGTGTGTGTGTGTGTGTGTGTGTGTGTGTGTGTGTGTGTGTGTGTGTGTGTGTGAATAGCCACTGAAATCTCCCTCGGGAATCTTTGTCTATATATAATTAAAGTCATTATCAGGAATGGACATGTCTGCATTCTCCTCCATGGTGACAGGGCTTTGTATCGCGCCTGTAGATTCAGATTCAGATGCCCGACCCACCCCATTGTAACACTATGCCCTTGCAGTGTGTCGTGATCAGCTCGTGTCGTTCCGTGACATGTTAATTCTTGTAGGTTACGGAAAAAAGCGAGTGCTGACGAATTAATGGACACGTAGACGCCTGCGTTTTCAAGATCTAGGCTCCGTTCTAATTGAAATCTTAGCTTTGTCGCTATTGTAAGACAATCGTAAATCTAGTCACAAGAAAGACGTAGGACTATATATAGATATACGTATGATTGCTTTGTGGATCTTGGATCGGTGTCTTTAATCATATGGTTATACATTCGTCTAGATTCGGCAGTATTTGACGAACTCGACCATAGTACTGTACGTGGAACTTGTGACGCCTAGCGCTTTTCTAGACCACGTGACCTATATATACGCGTCACTTCCCCTTGATCACCATATATAGTATATGAGTAAATACGTATATGCGGAAG